AGTGAATTTTGTGAATTCGGCGATACGCTGTCTGACAGACTATGTGAAAAGTTTGTGACAGGTGTAAACAGCCCTGATATTCAAAGAAAGTTGCTGCTCGAGTCAGATCTAACATTAGAAAAAGCAATACAACTTGCAATGTCATTCCAGCAGTCATCTGATGCGGCGAGATCTTTAGCACCTTCAGAGATCCATGCAGTAAACAGCAGGTTAGTCAATAAACATCAACCCCATCAGAGCATTCCAACTTATGCTAAACAGCCTGCTCGTTCAAATCCTAGATCTAAATCTAGTAATAATTATCAAAAATGTCATCGATGCAAAGGTCCCCATGCATCTCATCGGTGCAAGTTCAAGTCTGCAACTTGTTATAAGTGCAGTAAGCAAGGTCACATTGCCAAGGCCTGCTTTGCAAAGTCTTCGTCTGTTGCTAAATCTAGCCAGTCAAGACAGTACCGCAACCAAAGGCAGCACTATGTTAACTCTCACCAAGACTACCTAACCCAACCAATGAACCACTCTACCAGTGAAAATGCTCAAACTGATTCGCAGCCGGATTTCAACCTGTTCTCTGTGAAATCAATAAGTCATGCTCCCATCAATGTACCAGTTTATATCAACGGTAAGAGCATCAGCTTCCAACTTGACACTGGAGCATCTCTAACAGTCATAACAAAGAAAGATTTTGACGCTGTCACAGGAGGATCAGTGCCTCTACAGCCATGTCACAAGTGTTTAACAACATACACTGGTGACAATGTTCCGGTAATAGGAGAGTGTATGGTTCACGTAAGTTATAATGGTCAAAGTGTTAAACTTCCTCTTCTTGTAGTTGAAGGAAATGGACCACCATTACTAGGTAGGAACTGGTTAAGTGATCTTAAGTTAAATTGGGAGAGTATTTGTTCATTGAAGAATGTAAAAGAATCTAGTCTTACTTCACTAGATAGAGTTATATCTGAAAATAAATGTGCTTTTGGTAACTCTGGATTACTAAATGATAGAACAGTGAAGTTAAGCATTAAAGACACAAATCCAAGATACTGCAAAGCTAGAGTTCCACCTTATGCAATGAGGAATAAAATTGAAAATGAGCTAAGTAGATTGGAATCTAATGGCATTATAAAGAAGGTAGACTATTCCGATTGGGCAACGCCCATTGTGCCAGTGTTAAAGAAGGATGGTTCTATAAGAATTTGTGGAGATTACAAAACTACACTGAATAAGCAAATAGAGCTAAATAGGTACCCTATACGTAACATTGATGAAATTTCTTTGAATTTGGCAGGAGGAGACAAATTCACTGAATTAGACTTTAGTCATGCTTACACTCAACTAGAACTGCATCCAGATTCAAAAGTCTATACGACAATAAACACACATAAAGGACTCTACCAATATGAAAGACTATGTTTTGGCATATCATGTAGCCCTGGAATTTTCCAAGCTGTCATGGACAGTATTTTTAAGGATATTCCAAATGTTTGTGTGTACTTTGACAATGTGTACATAACTGGTAAGAATGACACTGAACATCTTAAAACACTTGATAAAGTATTGAAAATTGTTGGTGAAAAAGGTTTAAAGATAAACAAAGATAAATGTCAATTCATGTTGACAGAAATTAGTTTTCTTGGTTATATATTAAGCAAGCAAGGCATCAGACCTCAACCTGAGAAAACAAAAGCCATTAAAGAAGCACCAAAACCTGAAAATACCCAACAACTAAGAGCTTTTTTGGGCTTAATAAATTACTATGCAAAGTTCATAGGAAATCTGTCTGGTAAACTATCACCACTGTACAAGCTGCTACAGAAAAATGCAACTTGGCACTGGGGTAAACAACAAGATACTGCTTTTAATACAGCAAAAGAGGCTTTGTCTTCTGACACCTTACTAACTCACTATGACCCAGGGAAAAGACTTATATTAACATGTGATGCTTCACCAGATGGTGTAGGAGCAGTCTTGTCCCACATGGATGAGAAGGGTGACAGACCCATTGCTTTTGCCAGTAGATCTTTGAACCAGGCTGAGAAAAATTATTCTCAGTTAGATAGGGAAGGCTTAGGCATCATTTTTGGTGTTAAGAAATTTCATAAGTTTCTGTTTGGTAGGAAGTTCACCATCTTTACAGATCATAAACCATTGCTAGGTTTATTTGGAGAAAACAAAACCCTACCTGAGCATGCCTCACCAAGAATTCAAAGATGGGCTATCACACTAACTGCATACAATTATGAATTGAAATACAAACCTGGATCTGAGAATAGTGCAGATAGTCTTAGTAGATTACCTTTAAAAAACTAAAGCCTGAGCTATGTACCAGAAGATGTATTTGTTCTCTTCACTATCATGGATAACTCCAATATAAATGTGAATGATATTAAAAGAGAAACACAAAAAGATGAGTGCTTAATAAAAGTATATGAGCACTGTATGAATGGTTGGCCTGAAGAGTCTGTGAATGATGACTTAAGGCCATATAAAATAAGAAATTAAAACCCTTTGTGAAGATAATATAAAAGATGGAGAAGATGCAGTCCATTATCAGTCAGAGTTGCCTAAACAAAGTATTTGTAACTTAATAAATGAGTATGGTGATATGGCAATTTCAAATGTTTTAAAGAGAATACATTAGTAAGAAGGAATGTGATCATCAAACAACTTTGCTAACATCATTAGCACTTACAGAAACTAAAAGAAACTAAAAGGGTAACATCAAAGGTAAATACCAAACAGAAGAAGCTAAAGGTGACAATGAAAGAGTAAACAGGTTATTGGCCAAATACCGCACAACTCCTCATATAACAACAGGTGTTGCACCATGTGAATTGCTATGTGGTAGGAAAATTAAAACTCATCTTGACCTACTACATCCAACTGTTCAAAGGTCTGTTTCCCAACATCAACATACACAAAAAGTAAATCATGACAAATCATCCATTGAAAGAGAATTTGCAGTTAATGATAATGTGTATCTAAGAAATTATGGGAGAAAGGAAAAATGGATACCAGGTCAAATAGTTCAATGTACAGGACCTGTGTCTTATAAAGTAAAAACAAATGATGGACTTATTGTCCGTAGATATGCAGACCAGTTAAAAATAAGTTGTACAGATAATAAGTGTGAATCTGTCAATCCCACCAAGTCTGATCAGTTCACACCAACTCAGTTTGTTCCACAACCAAGTTCTGTTGATATGAGTGAACCAAGTTGTCTGGAGTCAGAAAATGTAAATTCTGGAGTTAATGATTTAAATCCTAGACCTCCTGAGATAGAGAATCCCAAATGGTCAGAATCTTGAGTCACCAAATCAAAAGCCACTGAGAAGGTCAAGCAGGACAATCAAAGTCCCAAATAAGTTAGACCTATGATTTTAAAGGTCAAAAGGACTTTGACATCATTGTTTTGTATCTTGATTATGTTGTGGCATATTGTGCATTGTTTGTAAGGATGTAATCTACCATAGTGTTCATGTTACAATATAATTGGTGATTTTAGGATACTATCAATTGTTCTATTGAGAGATGTGTTATTGTGTTCTAAGGGTAAAGGGATGTAATAGATTGAGATAATTGTGAGGTCAAGGGAACTCACTCTTCTGTATTAGTATTATATTTATATTGTTATCTTGAGTGATGTCCCTTGTGCATTGTACTTCCTCTTCCTCTTTCCTTCATGGCTGTAAATAAAGACTGTTAACAACCAATGTGGCTCCTCGTCAGTGTTTGACAATCTAACACAAAAATGACCCACGCTTTTCTTTATAGTTATTTAAATAGTAGTCTATAATTTATTTTCTACTTTTTAGTGCATCATTACATAAAAGCTTGTTATTAAAACGTTTTTTATGAATTTTTTTTTTATGAATTTTTTTTATGAATTTTTTTTACCAGCTTTTATTTAACTCACTTCCTCTGTCTGTCTGTCTAGATAGAAACGCAGGAGTGAAAATTCGGACAGTTCTACTTGACCGATACGATTCACATTTGACACGTGGGTCAAGACATGAAGACAATGCAATCTGAAACTAAATTTGACTTAATTGGATGCCTAATTAATTTTTTATGAATTAATAAAAATTTGGACCGAATTAGTAGGCATGTCTAGCCAACCACACCACACGCGTCATCACCTTCAATAACTGCGCCATCACGTAATGGCTGCGTTCAAAAACCATTGCGCGCCTACTGAACGTGATGTTCAGTAGGCGCGCAATGGTTTTTAGTCATGTAACTCTATTGTAAATAAAACATGTAAAGTACTGAAAAAAAATTCATAAAAAACGTTTTAATAACAAGCTTTTATGTAATGATGCACTAAAAAGTAGAAAATAAATTATAGACTACTATTTAAATAACTATAAAGAAAAGCGTGGGTGTCTTCCTTAACATTAGTAAAGGTATCCAATAGATACTAAAGTGACCCACGCTTTTCTTTATAGTTATTTAAATAGTAGTCTATAATTTATTTTCTACTTTTTAGTGCATCATTACATAAAAGCTTGTTATTAAAACGTTTTTTATAAAAAAAAATTTAAATTTCGTTCGGGGATCAGCGGACGGAGATTACCTCTTTGTGGAAACGGAAAGAAGCACTTTGAAGCCTAACGTTTCATCTTTTATGGATAAACCAGCTAGGCTTACACTGACTTAGATCTAGATCTAGATCTAGAATGTACAATAATCTAGATACATGTTTTGATTTCAGTGGGTGTCGAGAAAGCTTTTTTTTTTTTAGATTTTTGGAGTGATAAAATGTCTCGGCTCACAAGTGATTTTTATCTAATTGCTAAACAAGTTGAATTACTGTTTTTCATGGGTGACTATTAGCCGCGTTATTAATGAATATAAGTTCAGAATCTAAAGACAAAGAACATTGCTCAATGATGTTCATAGTTGTCTTTGTATCTTAATATTTTCGTTGCGCTAGATATAAATCTAGTCCAGCTTTATTTTGCGGTTTACGCATGCGTACTGTCATAAATGCTGTTACTTCCGTTTGTCTTATAATCTAAAAATTGTATTAAATGATATTTAAAAGTAGCGTCTTTAATTAGAACTTGTATTTAAGATAATAAACTCGTCTGTTTTTAAATGAGACTATCGGAATAACTAAATAATGCTCTGATTTTCATAATGGCAGCATTATTTTCATGTACAAAATGTCATAAGAGATACCCATTTGACGAACTTTCACAAGGAGAACAGTTGTGCAAGGTGTTTTAAATGAATTTTTAGCCTACAGTACTGTAACTTGTAACAGTACTCGACTCGGCTTACTGTTTTAAAAATCACTAGATCTAAACCATAATTGAGTTTAGATCTAGGATAGTTTAATGTGTTTAATATTAATAATTCAATAGTTGTATAATCCAAATTTAACTGATGTTCAGTTTTCAAAATAGATTCTAGATCTAGATGTAAAATTTGTCATTTTTCTGTTGGGGGGGGGGGGGGGGAAGGGGTCAACTAGCCGTACTAAGTACTAGCGGATGAGCATTTTAACAGGATCTCTAACTTTTTGTAAGGGACAGTAAGAGTAAATGGCTCTTAATATTTAAATAGTCAAACTATTTATTTACCACACCTAAATAAATAGTAAATAAACCTTAGATTAGAAGAAATCAACTAACATAGCAATCATTGATCACTCAAGATAATATTAATTTCTTGTGCTGTTGTGAAATTAGACTTGAAACAACAATGTACAATAAATTTTGAGTTGAATTATTTCTTGCTTTATTTAGTTTATTTACCATTGAAAATTGCATATTTTTCTGAACCAAGCATCAATATAATTATTATCTAATATCTAGGCCTATACTATGTAGGCCTACTCACTTTCAAAAATACTTTGTCATAAGCCTTCTTATGTTTTGATATTGAGTTTGTTAAAAGCTACAGCATTAGGTTTTCAGCTCATTTTTTAAAATTTAACAGGATTGTAGAAACAACTACCCTGTTGTAAAGTGCACTTACTGTAGAGCAGAATTTCAACAAAACAGGTATGAAAAAAAAACAATAATAGTAGGCCTAAATGAATAGGCTTATATTTTTTTGTTGATTAAATTATAGAGTATAGAATAACTTCAAATTTACTGAGTTGCTATTGAAATTACTTTTAGGATTGCTAATCATAACATAACATTGAATATACTTTACAGCAAAGGAAGTACAAGTTCAATTTGTGCCAAATGTGCTCAAAATGTCAAGCACTATGGCAAGGTAATGCAATAGGATAACATTAAATTATTTACTGAGAAAGTACTAAAAACCACCCTATGATAAATGCTAAAATCCAGTTATGTTACTTTTATGTTCATTTTTTTTTTTAATAACTAGTTTAAATTTTTTAGTTCTATTATTTCTTTATACACTTTTCCATTTTTATTCTGAACTTAAACTGACACAAACCAAAACTTTAAAAAAAAATTGAGCTGTATGTATTCCTTTAATCACTCCCAGCCTACAGCCTGTGAGAACTGCAGTGTGCTGGCAGCTTTTATTGGGAATCGCTGTCAGCGGTGTGTAAACTCTGAAAAGAAATGGGGTCCTCCATTGGTCTGTGAACAGTGTAAACTTAAGTGTGCCTTTGACCGCCCTGAGAGGAGAAAGGTATTTATCTCATGTGTTATTTTATAGGGATGTCCCTCAAGTTCTATTTACTTAACAGTCACATCTACATTGAGCACATGATCTTTTTGATTACAGAAATAAATGTCTTATAATTGTCCTTAAAGGTATATTTGTTAGTCTTGGTAGTGCACAACAGAAATGTTTTTAGTTATGTATGATGTGTATTCACAGTCTATTAAAAATGTTTAGGTTGATGGAAAGCTCATGTGCTGGCTGTGTGATCAGGCATACAAAAGAGTCCTGGCCAAGACGAGGAAGTCTCAGGATTTGGTTCTCAAACCTTCCAAGTCTTCATCCTCCCTCTTGGACTCATCAAGTAAATCAAACACACCTACAAATAATGGGCAAGCTTTTCTAGCTAACCAAGGGCTGTCATCATCAGCTTCATTTGAAGGCATGACAGTGTTAGAGCGCCTCACTAGATTGGCAACCAGTGGTGGAAGTAGTCGAGGTAACACCCCTCCAGTGGAAGCTAAACAGGAGGGAGGGGAGAACAGGTTAGCAGAAAAGGCTACAAATTTTCAGGAGCGATCATCCAGTGTTGAAGACGAGGAAGTAAAGGAAGACAAAGAAAAACTTCGCTCTCATAATCGCCACCACCATAGAAAGCATCACCACCACCATCATCGTTCACATTCTAAAAGGCGGCACTCAAAGTAGGCATTTACTACATTCATAAAAATTTCATAAGATAATTAAGTTATGTATTTTTAAAAATGTTTTTACTTTAAAGTAGTGCATTGAGTGATAGATGTTATGACTAAATTCATGTACATGTTTTAAATGTATCATCTATCACATGCCATTGTTATATGATGCTAGAGAAGAGGATGAATCTGGTGATGTTAAGAAACAGAAGTCTGAGAAAAATTCTGCAAATGGTGTTGCAGCAACAGCTGCTGTGTCTACACCCAAAAGGTAATTTTACCTTCAGGTTCAACCTTACTTCAGGTTCCTTAAACCTTCGAAGTCAGTGTTCCATCTGGTTCAGTTTTTCATCAAGTTCAGTGTCCCATCGAGGGTCGGCGTGGTTGAGCCGTTAAAGCTCATGGTTGCTAAACTGAGACGTCTCGAGTTTAAACCCTCTGGTAGATGAGACTTGACAGCTGGGGACAGCCACTCTTCTAGGAGAGACAACTCTTGAGTTTAAACCCTCTGGTAGATGAGACTTGACAGCTGGGGACAGCCACTCTTCTAGGAGAGACAACTCTTGAGTTTAAACCCTCTGGTAGATGAGACTTGACAGCTGGGGACAGCCACTCTTCTAGGAGAGACAACTCCAAAATCAAACAACTGCTGCCTTGTAGTTTGTTCTTTGTTGGACAAAGGCAATGGAAGCAAATCAATAAAGAAAAGCAGGCTGAAATTGGAGTCAACAGCCTAACAAGTTGACACATATACTTGTGTTAAAGGGAATCTCTTCCAACAGTAAAATTAAGAACGCAGAAGAAGAAGTGTTCCATCAGGTTCTGTGTCCCTTCATGTTTAGCTGTCAGGTACATTGATTAAATTTGATTTATACATTTATATTTCTAACATGGCTATTAATGATGTTTTCTGCCTGCACCAGTACGGGCAGTAATATATCTGAAACAGGAGTTGATACAGCAGCCTCTGAAAATGTCATACTGATCACACAGCTGAGGGAGCAGATTGAAAGTCTGAAGAAACTCATGGCTGGGAAAGACCAGCAGCTGTTGGAGAAAGATAAAAAGGCAATTCTAACAATGTCATTAAGCCTTATGGTGTAGTACATAATTTGTCATGTATTTAGAGACTCACTGTGATTCACAAGTTAAACATGCATTCAAAGAGATGTTCATTATTCCTCTAGATCACAGAACTGAAAGCACAGATGTATGAGAATGATAAAGAGTTCCGATCTAAAGTTCAGGCTTTACAGAGAGGCCATGCCACTGCTATTGAAACTCTGCAGGTCAGACCCTTTCTTGTTTTAGCTAAATAGTAGATTTAAATCTGCTTGTCTTTTCATTTGAAACAACAGAATGTAAAAAGTACAATACGTATTGTTTTTCAAACCCTAAATATGCATCTACTGTTCAAATTTTAAAAATTGGCAATGTTTTTCATTGTATTCTGTGTCATCATGTTATGGCCCATCGGCCCAGACTTCAGATAGATTTTCTTTCTGGATCTGCTTCCATAGCCTTTGTTTATCCAAGAACAAACTACAAGGCAACATTTGTTTGATTTTACTCTTAAAGGGAGCTAACATGCACACTCTTGCTCGACCACATGTCATCTGTCCCCAGATAAAATAAGCCTATTGCATATGGATTTTTTTTTTTAATTTTAAACCAATAAAAAATTCTTCCACAGATAAAGAACCGAGAGATGACAAGACAAATAGCATCTTTAACAAAAAACAAAAAAACTGTGGAGCCTTCCTCCCTAAACCTTGGAGCATCATAATTGATATCAATTTTACTTGTTTTCTATTTGATCATTTAATAATGAATTCTTTCACAGTCTAGATTATTGATCCAATAGTGCAGTAAAGTATGTAAAAAAAAAATAGTTTTTTTATTTTTAATGTACATCTAAATTTCATAAATAACATTGATATTGTATATGCATTTTGTGGGAAACTGCAACTAGAACTACTGGGCATCTAGGACTTATGTCATCTGTACTGAATGTTTGAGATTGAATCCATTGGTTTGACATGTTTTTTTACACCTAGCTTATGAAGCAAGTTTTAAACAGGCAATGGAATTAGTATCTTGCTAATGCATTGATATTTAATCAAAATTGTTTTTTTAAATGTGTAGTGGTAATTCTACATTTCTCGACTAATGTGAGCAATAAGAAATAAATGGTTCATGTGCAGGTTATTACTTTTTACTGTACATTTTAGTCTGTAATATTTTTTATGTAAGAAGAACGTGATGGGCATGTTATAGTTGCTCTTTAATGGTGGACATTTTTATATGCAAGTGCTTAGACATTGATGAGCATGAGTTGTGTTGAAGTTTAAAGCCCTGCGTTATGAGTTTCTTGTAACTTCTAAACTGATATTTTTAGCAGGAAGGAATGCTTGTGAAATAGTGCAGTCTTGCTGGTTCAGAACTGTTGTTGATTTAGTCAGGAGGACTTTATTTGTGTTTGTCTCTGACTACTTTGTTTTTACTACAAGGGCCAGTTCTAACATGGGCTGGGGTTTATTTCATTTAAAGTTAATTTGATAACAAATATTTCCTCAAATGTGTAACAGATTATTACTACCAAATATATAATCTAGATCTTAAACAATAACTTTCAGAAAATAATGAATTTAGCAATTGTAAAATAAATCTATTTGAAAGAGAGAAATGCTATGTATTACCTATGTTTTTAAAGAGTTTTTTGTAATTTTTAAAAAAAATTGCTGTTGTCATTATTTTGTTCTGCTACTGAAAGTACTTTTATGTGTTATATATTTTTTTGCTGCTTTACATTGAAGCAATTTTAATGTTACCTGTGTTACCCATTGTGTCATCTGAGGTGGCTTTGAAAAGTTATTACTTTATAAATATTGTTAATGTTTTTAAATAATTGTCTATAAAAATGTAAGCATGATAATAATGTTCGTATACATTCATGCTTTTATTTAGCTCTTTAAAGCAACTTTAAAGGTACATTATGTAAAATGTTTATTTAGTAAATTATTTACAAACGACCACCTCAAGTTTTCATAATAGTTAGTTGATTTTTATTTTTTAGATTTTGTTCTACATGGCTTTAAAATAGTCTATGATTTATATTTTTAAATCTTCCCATTTTGTTTGTTAACAGCGTTTTAATGAAATATATTTTTATACCAATTTTTACAGATTTGATAAGTTTTAATTTCTGAGATAGTTCAGTGTTTACTTGGTTTAAAAGTCAGCCGTATAAATTAGCCCCTTGTGCATGATTTCATGTTGTAGTACACACTTGTTTGAGCGGCCACCATAGCCTCACACATATTGTCCTAGTTTGTCAATTCAAAGAAAACACCTAGTTTAATGGGTTTTTTTTTATAGTTTTGATATGATCAATAAAAAGGTTTGTATTTGACTGCTCTGCTACAAAAGCTAGTGATGTCAGATGATGCAGACATTTTGGGAAATGACCTGTTTATACTAGTGTGGAGTTTAGTTAGAACATTGTGTTGCACATAATGTTTGTCAGTTCTAACTTCAATTGTTTTAAATAAAATGTATTATGAAGAGTATGAATCAAATGAATGATTAATGTCTGAAAGTAGTGCAATAAAATGAGTTTAAATCCTATTTTTTGCCACTTAATTCATGGGAAGATGTACAAAATGTGACAATTTAGAAAAAGAACTACTTAACTGGCAGATGTTCTCATGAGAGGCAACTAAAGATATTAAAATTACTTCCCAGTTATGATTTTGTTTTGCTATCCAAGTCATTACTGTACTGAACAGTCAAGCTTTTAGCATATTTTCAACTATTACCTAATGGAATATACAAATAATTAACTAACTACTGACAGTTGTGTTAAGTTGCTAGGAGATGAGTAAAAAGAAGTCTGTAATCCTATTTGGTAAAGAACACTAAATCAAATATACTAGTGTCATCTAATTTGGCCAAGAACACTAAATCAAATATACTAGTGTCATCTAATTTGGCCAAGAACACTAAATCAAATATACTAGTGTCATCCAATTTGACCATGAACACTAAATCAAATATACTGTAATCCTATTTGGCCAAGTACACTAAATTAGATATATTGAAATCCAATTTGGCCAAGTACACTAAATCAAAAATAACTGTAATCCTATTTGGCCAAGTACACTAAATTAGATATATTGAAATCCAATTTGGCCAAGTACATTAAGTTTAATATTAATTCTGAGTAAACTCCATGATATCATGTGTGTTGTATCAGGGTATTAAGGTGCGAAAGAGTTAATGAATGCATGGATTGATGAAAGACAGCAAGGTTTACCATAGGTACTGGTTGTTTGCCTCGGGTCAAGCTCGATCCTCCTACACAGCAACACAATAACACTCCATATTGCCAGGCCAATTTATATAGGCAAATGACGATATATTCACTACCCCCTTACATGAAAAATGTTGCAGTGAAGTAAGTGTATCTAGAAAATAGTCAAATTTTGTATTGGTTTTATCCCTTATAAAATCTGAGAGAAAAAATACTAAAACTAAAAAGGTGCCAAATCTGTGAACACTCTGCACTTTTAACAGATCAAACATGCTCATAACACAATAGAAGACATTTATAAGAAATTATCAAATTTATTTTTTTCCAATGAGACAATATTTACAAAGCATATTTACATAATTAATTGTTAATAATAGAATAAAATCACATTAACTAGCAAGTTGATTTAAACACATTAGTCTGATAAGTTATCTATGACAATTTTTCCTCTTAGGTGTCCACCCGCCACTCGTTTGTATCCATCTGGTACTTTAGAGAATGGGAATACTTCTTGTACGGTGGGTTTGATCTGACAATTAGGAAATAAAAAGAATAAACATTTTGATTATGTCCCTTTATAATATTACAGTTAATTCCCTTCGGTATTTTGTACAAAAATTTTCAAAATCTTTGAAAACTGCAATACATTTCAAAAGATCGTTATTTTATTTACTGAACAATGTAAAATTTTTTATGCTTATACTAAAACCCAATTGCAAAATGTAAAAATACATAAAGCAAATATTTTAAACGAACAATTCAAATTTGAAAAACCCATAATTTTAGTGAAATGGTTTTTAATATATAAGAGCAGTAAATGCTATCTGTATTATGCCTTAAACTAATGAGTAAGGAAAATAACGAGCCTGGGTAATTACAGGCTCCCAGACAACCAGTTCTGGAAGAATTTCTACAGGGGCACAGGTCGCCCCCATGGTGACCCACCTACTTTGTGGGATGCCTGGGTTGAGTGATCTGCCCTCAAAATTAACAATAAAAGAATGGTCGTAACCAGGTAACCCATCCTAAAACTAAAACACCTTACCTGCCCAGCCTCAACCATTAGCTTCACCTTCTCCATAGCACTGGCACTGGGGATGAAAACAGCCCACCTAACACTGCCTCCTGATTTTAGACCCTGTCCAATCAAATTCTTATGTTAAATTGATGAAGTAACCACACCATTACAAACAATTCAATGAATATATACCAAAATATATATATATAAAAAGCAATGACTGTCTTCTGTCTGTCTTTTTACACCTTTCACCCAATCAACATGAAACTATGGGGAGTTGATTTGAACACTCCTGGGCAGGTTTCTGCGGAAAAAAAATGCTTCAAAATTGAATCAGGCAAGAAAAGGTGCAATTTGGCGCTCTGGGCTATCCCGTATGCGCTATAGGGCCCTTGTTTTAAAAAATGTGATAGACTGTGGATGAAATGGGGCGTTTTAGTCGTTCACTAAATTGAGCCCTCCAGTGCTCCAACAGGGCGCTATTTGGCACCCTGGGTTATCCTGTGAGCACCATGGTGCCTAAGTTAGTTTTAAGGAGCCAGGGACCATACACGGCGCCGCTGTGCTAGTGTAAGGGAGCTCCAGAGAGCACCCATCTACGTCTCTGACATCTGGGCTGTTGCCGAAGCGTGCTCTACCTCATTGATATGGAGAGTGATTAACGTACACTCAAGGCCTTCATTCCTGGGGTGTGTTGGGCGGAAGTGTGGCAAACCTGAGCCATGACAAATATAATCTGAGAAATATAGCGCAGCCATTGTTTAGTATCGCATTGATGAGACACTTTAAAATATTGCGTCAGACTTTCTTCTGAGACTGCGGCAACAAGCTGAAAAGTCACGCTAGTGAGATAATAAAATCTGGCAGGGAGGACCATTAACTTTAACACATCACATTGAGATATCAATATTCGCAGGGTAAATGTAGGGGCAGTAAGTTAGTTAATGATTGCATTTATTAAAAGTACATACTTGTTAAATGTAGATATCAAGGATGTCTAGTCAAGTATTCAAATTAGACAAGAGATTATCAAGTTGTATTTCTTTAGTAGGAGATATGTTGTTGAATGAATTAAGGAAACAATTAAAATAGTGAATTTTTTTCTTAAGCGCTTTAAGTTATACATCTGGATTTTTTTAGCTGTCTATAGTGTAGGTTTGAGAAGCATACCCTTGTTTACTTTTAATGTATCCTAGCCTGCAGTGAGAACTGTTCACCTTTAATGTATCCTAGCCTGCAGTGAGAACTGTTTACCTTTAATGTGTCCAATCCTGCCGTGAAAGCGGTTTTCATCATGCCAGGGATGACCCCCAGGTTGTCTGAGTTCTTGAGGAAAGGTGTGATAAGTGTAATAAGATGTGAGTTCTGCCACGGACTAAGAAATCCGACTCCTTTATCCACAGCATCTGCCCCCACTGTGTCCAGGATGTAGTCGTATCTGGAATTACAATCAATAGCTGTTAACTGGTGCGCATTTCTATTTTCAAAAAATCTTGATTTTTCTTTTTCAAGTTTTTTGCCAAGTATTTCTTCTACACAACCTTGTCTTATAATTAGAGATTAATCAAACTTACTAAGGTACATAACTCTTAACACATTTTTACTCAACATCAGCACTGCACTAAATTTTAAGGGGAAATAATTACTTCTCATAGCGTTTCAGCTCTTGCCATATGTCTTTTGTTTTATAATCAACTACCATATCAGCTCCCAAATCTCTGACCATCTCAACAGCATTAGTAGAACAAGTAGTTGTCACATGCATACCCCAAGCTTTCGCCAACTACAAAAAAAATCATTAGCTGATACTGAATTTTTTTCAAGTTTGAAAAGATTGATAAAGGTTGTCATTATTTTGACTTGAGAATATAAAATAACAAATGAAAATTTGTTAGCCTAAAGGTTAATTATATTTACAATCTTTTATAATATGATCTCCGTTATATTTTTACCTGAACAGAAAATGTTCCTATGCCGCCAGAGCCCCCTAAGATAAGGATTCTAGGAATTTAAAAAAAACATTAAATTAATGTTGTGCATTATTTGTGATGTGATTTTTTAATGTAAAAAGTAATCATTTTCCTTGGTTTAAAAACTGACCTTCGACCTACAGCTTTCCTTTCCTTGAGCTCCCCCACAGTACAAAGAGCTGCCCATGTTGTGGCTGCGACGTACGGAATAGATGCTGCCTCAATATGTGACACATTACGTGGTTTTAAAGATATCTGAAATTGTTAAGGAAGCTGCCTCAATATGTGACACATTACGTGGTTTTAAAGATATCTGAAATTGTTAAGGAAGCTGCCTCAATATGTGACACATTACGTGGTTTTAAAGATATCTGAAATTGTTAAGGAAGCTGCCTCAATATGTGACACATTACGTGGTTTTAAAGATATCTGAAATTGTTAAGGAAGCTGCCTCAATATGTGACACATTATGTGGTTTTAAAGTTGTTTATAATACATTATATACTATGGTTTGCAATCAAAATACTGAGGCTTGAGCAAGTATGTTTAATTTTAAATTTCCTATTTGGTGTCAGTGTAGGCCTACCTCATCTTGAGAAACCACTGTAAACTTGGCATGAGTGCCCGGCCTTTCTGCACCAATGGCCCCCCAAACCTAGACAAATCAGCACAATTAGAGCAAATAATTTATTTAAACCACAGTAAACTTGGCATGAGTACCAGGCCTTTCTGCACCAATGCCCCCCTCCCCAAACCTAGACAAATGAGCACAGATAGAGCAATAAATTAATTAGAAAATGTATTGTGTCAAGAAGTGAAATATGCATGATCTAATTCGAACAACAGAGTTGTAACTATAATCTTGAACACAAATGAGTAATAATCTTCCAATAGCTACAATTTAGTTAAAAGTTACCCTTTCTGACCTGGTAGTGCAAGATGAAGTGGGTTCACCTTTATTGCCTAATCTGTGCATATGAAAGGATGGTGTGATTAGTCCTATGCCCTGCCATTTTCTTTACTTTCCCTAATGCAAGTTGGGTACCCATTAGAGCTGGGCGGACTCACCTGAAACTCATTAGAGCCCAGTATCCAAACGTAAAACTTACCATCCGACCACACTGACTCCAATAAAAATATATAACTCAAACTTAAAAAATAATTTTAAAAAGCTTAACGCCAAAGATGATATAAATATGCTGGTAAAATCCATATTCCATAGGATTAAGCACCTACATTACCTCATCTCCTATTTTATACTTGGTAATGTTTCTCCCAGCTTCCACAACAGTTCCAGAAAAATCTCTACCAAGAACAAGAGGAAACTCTGAGCCTGATCTCATCATGCCTTTTTGTTTCCTTAGAATGTTTATTAAACTTTTACCGTAGCCACCTGCAAATAATAGATAAAACAACACTTAGCATTTCAGTAAACAAATACAAGAAATGGGTGAAACCAAATACTAAATTCATAAATTATGATGGAGTAATTAAAGGTTTTGAGAATTCATAGGATGGTAATCCAATTGTAACCAGTAAATCAAGCCTAACAGGTTTTTAAATTATCTTTCTCCATATACTTTTTTCTTGGACAGTTCTTTGAATGAAGGACAAATGTAAATGCTGGCAAGTATAAAAGGCTAAGCAGCATAGGTCTATTATCTTTCAAAACATTTATAGCACTGTTCTAAAACTGCTTGTGATATACAAAAAAAACTAAATGACCACACTATTTTAATTACCCAGCATTTTAATATCTATAGGGTTGATGCTGGAAGCGTGGACTTTGATCAGAAGCTCATTAGGAGATTTGATGGCGGCTCCTTCAGATGATGCTGAGAGCTTCAATTCTTCAATCTTGCCATACCGGTTTATCTGCCAAACTGATCTGTTTTCAAAGTTTGATAACGTTCGTGTGTTGACCAGATGAAAATATATTTGTGTTGATCTCCTACTGGGTACAGGCTTCTTGCAAGTGAGGAGAAGATTCTTTATGATTAGCACCATTCTAACAGCTTAGGTTACAGGTCTCTGAAACAAATAGATATTGTTCATGGTCACCATTGTATGGCCAATGCGCCCAGACATAAAATTCACCTTTTGCAACTGATGACCCATAGGACAGATAAAGTAGAGTTCATCTGTTTCTTTACCATGGCATATAAAGGGATACTGTGTTCAGCACTTTGACCAGCCGCTTTTATTGTCCCTTAATTTGAGTCAGGTACCCACATCCAGATGGACTCAGGGACATACAACATACTCAAGTCAAAGAGCATTCTACTAACTAACCGTGATGTCCATTCATTGATGATGATGCACTATTTAATTACTTTTTCAAAATCTTCATGAGAACTAATTCGCTAGTTATAAACCATTAGTAAATGAAAATTTATTTTCCTGTTTTCAAATGCAATGAAGTCACAGCAAAATAAATGTACATAATACATCTAATACTTTAGTACAGTTGTAGGCCTATCCTATATATGGTATATATACTATATCCAAATAGTGCAATTGTGTTTGGAGGTAGCAGCCAATTAATTTTCTTAAGTTACAGTGCTACAGCTATTTAGATCTAGTGATCTACAGTACAGGGAGACAATTCAGTCAATACTCAATAGTAATAAACTCAATCATAGTTAATTAGTTATATAGACATTTTTCTGCTTCAACTTTTAAATTTGTTCTGACCAAGAACTCCGAGCCAGATACTCTGCCTAGATTATTATAGAATAATAGATTATTTAATATATAATATATAGGCCTAGATAGGCCTACAATAAATATTAAATTATAGGCCTATAAATATAAAATAAAGGCCTAATAATAAGCTTATAATTGCAATTTAGAATTTAAGCCTATTGAATAATAAATATTAAATAATAATAATAATAGGGTAATCTATCGGTTGAGGTGCGAAAAAAATCGGCCAAGGCTAGTAAAGTGAAAACAAGTTGCCTCATGACGTACTAGTACTACTAGTACTAGATCTAGATCTAGTAACTAGATTCAGTAATCTATCATTTTGAGTACGTAAAATCGCCCGCGGCTATTAATGTACAAAAACGTTACCTCATTGTCAAGGCTTTAATAGAAGTGTATTGTGGTATGTTTATGTCAAATATTATAGACGAGCCGACCCGCACTGTATCATGCGCCGCTATTTAGTTTTTTTTTCTACTTTTCAGTAATTCATAATTTGTGAATTCGACAGTACCAATGCTGCCACTGAAAATATTTGCTTTAAAACACTAAACCCCTTCTCCCCCCCCCCCCCCCCCCCTTGTGAAAGCAGCCTCTTAGTTACCTCCCCTAAGTTTAAACTCGTTTCAAACTAAATTATCTGCCCCTAATAGCCGTCACCAAACCCGACTATGATTGTAAACAAAAACATTTAGCGTGAACCACAGCTCACCAGACCATGTGAGGGGGGGGGGGGGTGGTAGCGATAGAGAGGAAGAGAGGGGACTGTAAGGCGCACTTGCAGCTTGTTTTCTAATGTCTCCCAGAAGAGAATTACATATATAGATAAATTAATAATAAACCTAAATCAATGGCTAAATATATCAATTGAATATAGGCCAGAAATTAACTTTAAACAGCAGTGTCTGCAAGCTAGATTTGCTATATAAACAGCAGCCATTTGTAAAATAGAGTGGCTTCCCCCTGAATCTAGCGCTATAAGTTTATAAAAATAAAACTTAAACAAGATGGCTGCTATAGTAAATGAGCATAGTTGCATCTGTTGGAAACATCGCTAGTCTTCATTTATTACTGCAAAAGTTTTAATTCAATTGTTTAAAAACATGTACATAAATGAAACATGGAAAATTTTTGTATTTTAAAAAACATAAATCCTCCTCACAATGTGAAATAATTATTAAAATTTAAAGGAGTCACTGGTTTTTCACATTACAAGTCGCGGGCGATTTTACGTACCTAAAGAAGATTAAAAATTAAAACGATAGATACAATAGAATATAGAAGATAGATCTAGATTACCTACTTACTACCTACAACTAGATTCTAGATTCTAATTCTAGTCTTGGCCGATTTTACGTACCTAGCTAGACCTAAAGCGATAGATTACCAACCCTTTTTATTTATGACTTCTGAAGACATCTGCCATTCAACAATGTAGTTTTTAGATCTAGATCTAGATTCTAGATCTAAAAGTTTTAGTTTAGTAATTTAAATATTAAATTGCAATGTTCCAAAAACGAAAGTTGATTTCTATTAGAGTCCTTTCATATGACGTCACGTCCGTTCGTGAATGTAAACATCCGCCATCTCGGTGTACAGATCTACATTCAAAATGGTGATATGTGCGGTGAAAGGTTGTGATACTCGAAGTGGCAGATCTAAAGGGATTCCTTTATTTCGACTGCCAAGGGTTATATTAAACCAAGATGATAGAGATCGACAGTCAGAGGCGTAGCGACCCTTCCCGGCTCCCGGGGACAAACGTTTCGATATATGCACCCCCCCTCAAGATTTCGATTTGCACCCCCCTCTCAAACCAAACTTTCGATTTGCACCCCCCCCCCCCTCAAGATTTCGATTTGCATCCCCTCTCTCAAACTTTCGATTTGCACCCCCCCCCCCCTCTCAAGATTTCGATTAGCACCCCCCCCCCCTCAAACTTTCGATTTGCACCCCCCCCCCTCAATCTTTCAATTATTTTTCCAACCCATTTTGGCGCCCCCTTAGGTCGGCGCCCGGGGACATATAATTATTTTATTTTATAAATTCATCAAAATATTGTTCTGTAACACTCGGTTAAGAAACACTCGCTATTCTATTAGAATATTTAGCTACTCACTATTTCAATGTACTTCCTATTATAATAATTAACTTGTCTATCCCAAATTGAAACATTCAACTTCATGGTGGATATCACAAATAAACTAAACAAGCTTAATGTTAACTGCAAGGAAAGGGAAACCCAGCCTAAGCCTTGCTTGAAGAAGATTGTTTCGAAAAAAAATTTACTTCATTTTGTTGAAGACACGGAGAGCGGTAAAATACTTTATTTCGAAAAATGTGGGGAAAAAATATAGTGATAAAACTAATGTTACTATTAGCATAAATCACTTCAGCATTACTATAAACAAAATGAAGGATGGTTCACTGAGAGATTTGAGCAATTCAAAACAAATGCAAGTACCCTAACCAGTGTTTCTTCCAGAATTTTTTATCCGGGGGGGGGGGCACTTGAAACTCGACATTTTCGGGGGGGGGGGGGCGGTAGACTTTCTTCGGGGGGGGGGCTGACACTGTTAAAAGTATATATTTTCTATATAAATTATATAAATTTCATTTCGTTCGGGGGGGGGGGGGCGGTAAAATTTTTTCGGGGGGCTTTGCCCCCCCCCCCGAAGAGATGCCTGGAAGTAACTCTAACCCTAACCTTCATAGTAGATTCTCTCAACACAAAAGCAAACGTGATTAAGTTTTGGTTATTGCAGAGGCGTAGCGACCCTTCCCGGCGCCCGGGGACATACTTTCAATTTGGCTTTCCCTTGGGAGCAAATTTTCGATTTGCACCCCCCCCCTCGAACTTTTCATTTGCACACCCCCCCCCCCCCTCAAACTTTCGATTTGCACCCCCCCTCGAACTTTTCATTTGTACCCCCCCCCCCTCGAACTTTTCGTTTGCAGCCCCCCCCCCCACTCAAACTTTCAATTTGGCGCCCCCCTAAGGTCGTTTTTTCTCCGGGGGGCACTTGTAACTTTCGGGGGGGGGGGCGGTAGACTTTCTTCGGGGGGGCGGACACTGTTAAAAGTATATATTTTCTATATAAATTATATAAATTTCATTTCGTTCGGGGGGGGGGGGCGGTACAAAATTTTCGGGGGGGGGGGGGGGCTTTGTCCCCCCGAAGCGATGCCTGGAAGAAACTCTGTTGTGGAGTGACAAATTCACGGAACTCAAGAGCAAGTTCGGACATTTGAAGGTCCAGTAAGACATGCACGTTTCGCTGCACAACTGGACTCATATTTGACACATGGAATAGTCTTCCAGGATACTACAGTTTCAGAGGCGTATCCAGGTTTTCATTGTAGGGGGAGCGAAACGAGCAAAAATAGACGCCGAATTTTTAACACGTTCTATATACGTATATATATATATGTATGTATGTATGTATGTATATATATATATATATATATATATATATATATATATATATATATATATATATATATATATATATATATATATATATATATATATATATATATATATAAAGCTCAGTTCTGTATGTAATGCATTTGTATGTCGTTGGAATTGTATGAATTTAAGTGTTAGAAAATTATCGTGCGCATTTGTCTAAATTTATGAGCTAAAAAATTACCATTGAAAGTGTTGGGAAATCATTTTCATTTTTCAAATTACAGTAATAATTGTCGGCATGTTCATTAAACACAAGTTTAAAAAAAATATCATCTTTTACAAAAATTCTAATTATGTCTTTATTTAGTCCTATAGCACTTACTTCCCTTTGATAAATTAGGAAAACAAAATTACTTCCCTTTATGAAACCATTGCATTAGTCGAAAATAATTTACTTTTTAATTACTTTGTTTTGGTGTTGGGAAAAAAAAATAATTACATAATTAGCGGGGATTGATCAAATGCAAATGTTGTAGGTATTTTACGGATAAGCTTGGAGTATTAAAATTGTTCATCAAATTGAAACAGGCGCGTTCGTTTAAGTGAGTGCAAAAGACTATGAATAAGTTGGGGTACTATAGTCGTTCATTAAGCTAAAACAGGTGATTCCGCCCCGGGCGTTTATGTTCGCGTTAGTGTTTTCTTTGTGTTTAGGTGGGTTTGCGTTAGTGGTTGCGTTTTGATTTGGTTCGTTTTTGTTCTTTCTTTTTTCGTTTTTGTTTGTGTTTTTTTGTTTGGGTTTGTATTTGTGTTTTTGGTTGGTTTTGCGTTTGGATTTGGTTTGTTTTCGTTTGCTTTTTCGTTTTTTTTTTTTGTTTTTTTTTGGTATTGGTGTTTGTGGTTGGGTTTGTTGTTAGGTTTTTGTTTTCGTTTGCTTTTTTGTTTGTTTTTTCTTTGTGTTTGTATTGGTGTTTGTGGTTGTGGTTGGGTTTGTTGTTAGGTTTTTGTTTTCGTTTTTATTTGTAATTGTGTTAGCGTTATGTTTGCGTTTTGTTGTTTTGGTTGGTTGTGGTTTGGGTGGGCAATGCCGGGTTTATGATGATTACTAAACACACAGGTAATGGTCTTTAACAGAAAGGTTTTTCACAGAAGCCAGAGCAGGGCCTGGCCGGGACGGCTAGTATATATATATATATATATATATATATATATATATATATATATATATATATATATATATATATATATATATATATATATATATATATATATATATTATATATATATATATATATATATATATATATATATATATATATATATATATATATATATATATATATACATATATATATACATATATATATACATATACATACATATATATATATATATATATATATATATATATATATATATATATATATATATATATATATAATTACTAGCTGTATGTCATTACTTCGCTATAATATAAAATAAATTGAAAGTAGCACCCTGAAGAAAAAGAAAAAACACACAATGTAGGCCAACAAAACAAAAATTGTATCAATCTAAAAAAAAATATATATACACACACTACAACCAAAAGCAATGAACGTAACACAATCTGTTTTGTAATTCTTGTAAAACAAGTAATTAAAAAAAGTCTAGTGACAATTTTAGCGCAATTTCCTTGTGTTATCTAAAAATAGCTCTGTCGTAGCGTAAATCAAGAGCAGGGTTAGTAAAACCATTGGTTAGTTATTAAAACGTTTTTTATTAATTTTTTTTTCAGTATTTTACATGTTTTATTTACAATAGAGTAACATGACTAAAAACCATTGCGCGCCCAGCTACCGAACGTGACGTCGCAGCCATTGAACGTGATGGCGCAGCTATTGAACGTGATGACGCGTGTGGTGTGGTTGCATAAAATGCCTACTAATTCGGTCCAAATTTTAATTAATTCAAAAAATTTTTTGTGACCAAACGAAAGGATATTTTTGAAAAATTTCTTCGGCAATATTGTTCTAAATTATGGCAGGAATCGATTGGTACATGTTTCAAGTCGCTAAGTGGTCTGGTTGCCGAGATATGGGCCAAAAACTGCATTTTTTCGAGGTTTTTTGGCTTTTCCGGGAAATCCATGAAAGAAACCCGGAATTTTTATGGCCTATGTTCATCCTCGTAACTTGCTTAACATAATTGTTTTTGTAACTAGTCATCGATATTGCTTCGTTGAGGAGGAGATACGACTTAAAGCTGCGGACACACATCCATACATTCATTCATCCATCCATCCATCCAGAAATGACGGGTTAATAAACGCAATTCTCCAGAATGGAAATTGCGCTAAAAATTTCTTACATAATAATTCCTGGAAATTATTTAAGACAAGTGAAATAGGGGAAATAATCACTCTCTTAATATAATTATGTTGGCTATATATCCACATATTTAATTATAAATGTCAAAACAAATAAATAATTACTTTACAATATAATGCAATTGTTTAGCTCTATTCGTGTTTATAAAATATTTTTGTCTGTAATCAGAATTTAATATATCGTCATCATAAATGCTAAAGTATTACAGCATAATGAAAGTTTTTAAAATCAGAGTTGGTATAAAACCACGCTTTTCGATATATAATACTGGAATAACAGCCTACATTTACCAAAAATGTTGGTCTTTCAGTTCAGAACATATATTTTTTAAATTAACTACTGCTTCTTAGTGTTCTTTAAAGATCATTTTTAACATAGTGATAGATATGGGTTAGATCACTGTATTGATCACGCACCTTTTTACTGGTAATTGCAAAAACAATATTCACAGAGTTTTACGTTTAAAAAGCTATAAATTTTCTGTCGGCATGGTACTTTGGTACATCATTACGCGTTTTTCTACATGTACTTAACAGCGTATACCTAGGTGTGACATTAATGTCGCTCTACACAATTGTGGTGGTGAGGTGTGCGTGTGGGGGGGGGGGGGGAGATAACCAACTCAGAGTGAACATAGCGTCAGTTTTTAGATGACTATTCTAAACATACATATATATTACACAAATATATATTATACACATATATATTACAGAAATAGATTTAAATAAGTAGCAGTGGTATTATGACAATATTTTTTTTTACAGAGGGGTCCATGGGGCAGGGGGGGGGGGGTGTAACTGTTTCATATAATTTGTAATCGTAATCACTATCGCCCAAACTGTAAGAATACTACTACTTCATCGTGATGACGTTGTTGGCCTTGTCAAAATTTCCCCAACACTACGCAGTTTCCTCATAAGTAAATTTAAATAGAGGTGCCACATCAGTTGTATTTGTTTCTGTATTGTAATTTTTTTAAAAATTAATCACACTATTCAAACTGTATATATAAAGTAATTATGTGTGAAGTTTTATGTATAACATTTTCTAATTCAATTATTCGTAAGCAAATAAATTATACAGTTGCCTTAAACTTAACACCCCTCTTGTTAAGTGGTACTACCCGTAGAGGTTTTTTAAACACTGCAATGCATAGTAAAGGTTATTTTTAGAAGGCTAACTGATGCAGCTGTTGATACGTGTTGTAAACGTAGAAACCACTAGACTAGTACAATAGTGCTTAATTGCTGCATGAAAAGAAATCTTGTGATTTACATAGATGTGCCGACCGAAAATATTTTTTTAACAAATATCATTGTTTAAAACTTTGAGTTTTAAAAGTTTCCAAAAAGGCGCCACTTTGCTGAAAATGGCCAGAGGGGGAGCGGCCGCTCCCCCTGCTCCCCCCCCCCTGCGTACGCTACTGTACAGTTTGTATTTGGAGTGCGGACGATCATCGGGTCAACATATTCATGCGAGCAAGCGTTTTCTTGAATGAATATAAGATAAAAGTTAAGTAAGAAGCCAAATAAGAAATAAAAATCTAAAGGCGTGCGCTGAAACTGAAAACAACAAGTTATGAAACAGGTTTAAACAAACTTTCAAAAGGCATGCAAGGCTAAACTTTTGTAAATAGTATTGAATAATTAAAGATAAATAATTTGGTCACTGATTTTATTATTCTAGCAGAGCTAGGTAAAATACTTTAATATTGTTTCTGCGAAACATGTGTATGCTTTCTTCGGGGGGGGGGGGGGGGGCGGACACTGTTAAAAGTATATATTTTCTATATAAAATATAAAAATTTCATTTCGTTCGGGGGTGGGGGGGGGGGGCGGAAGAATTTTCTCGGGAGGGCTTCGCCCTCCCCCTCCCCCCGAAGAGATGCCTGGAAGAAACTCTGTTTATGAGTATTCAAAAACTTCCCAAATTTTACTGAAGTTTGGATGGTCTCAACTACTTTTCATCAAACCTATTGTGAAACACTCAAGGGAGAGAATGCACAATATACACTATCGTATTTGTTTGTAAAACAAAAAGAAGTAAACGTACATAAAACCGAAATAGTATAGAATAATAGTCCTACCAATACAACAAACGAACATTTTACATTATAAAATCACAATGGATTGTGGGCCCCTAATGAATGCTATAAAGAAGCAAAAGTCGTCTTAATATCTTATAGCGGCCTCTCGCGCGATGGACTTTGATTTATTTTAATTAAAAGAATTTTGCCGACAACAGCGTGTGTTTGATTGTAGGAGAAAGAGGACTTGGGATGGTGTCTGTAGAATAAAGGTAATCCAACTGCAGCTACAGTATTCATTTTTTACAATACAAGCATCATGTCAAAAATGAAAGAACATAATTTTTTTAACTATAAAAAAATTGATTATGGTCCCTAAATGGCCTGCGCCCCCCCCCCCCCCCCTCGCATTGCGGGGTCTGGTGGCACTGTAGTTCCGCCCCTGACACTTGGTAAAGACTCTCCTGTAAAGGATGATCTTTGGTCTCTTCTACAAACATCACCAGCAGCAGCAGTAAAGACTGTAACAGATTGGACATTGACTCCCCATGATGATGTAAGACAAGACGGCACGGTCATCCCGAAAGCCGAGGAAAGGGATTCATACCCATTACCCGCAGTTCATTTTTTGGCTTAAACAAATAAAATATCTAACATTATTCTTCACAAATCGATATTAAACAGTTTAGTAAGCTAGATTTATTTTCTGGCACCAACTTCCAGCGAATGCTATTGGCTGCGCTGATAATATTTGTATTATTTTAGTTATGGCTGATCTACTGCCCGTTAACAAAAAATTAGATGAGCCTTACGAAAGTCAATTTACATAAAACATATTTAAGTCTTGCTCCTTCACGATTAACTGAAAATGCTTTATTTTATAAAGCGTAGCAGTTTTGTTTTACTTTGACATTTTTTTTATTTTTTTTTACAAATTTTTAGGCGATCTGCTACAAAATCTAGATTTGTATCCTTTATTGCGGCAATTGGACCAACTGCACTTCCGGAAACAACAGACGATAATAATGAAAAAAAGCAAGATCATTTGAAGATCCTAATCTAGATTCTAGATCTAGATTCTAGATCTAGTATTAGATCTACCATAAAATCTCTATTTCTCTCAGGAAATACTCTTTGTAAATTTTAATTGAAAGATAATTGAAATGCTGGTTACTATCTTAAAGTATCTTTCAGTCACCAAAACATACAATTTAAAAATAACACTCGAACTTTGTCTTGAATGAATTTGGTTGATTGATTCGATTGAGTTTCTCATCAACTCAAGCAGTTCTGTGTTCCATAGGAACAATCTCGGAAGCTTCTGTCCAAGCCCAGGTCTGTAAAAAAACCTCCAAAAACATAGACCTAGACCTTTTAACTTTAAGTAGTATAAGACCTAGGGTAAACCTCCATTTCAGCGTATTTTATTCTCCGTTGCTTGTTTACCTCCAGTTGAGCGTATTTTATTATAACAACCGAAACACATCAAAACATTAGGAAAACACGATTTATTTTTTGTATTGTATTTCTGTTTTCACAAATGAATAAAATGAATGTTTAAAAAACACGACTTATTTATTTGTATTGTATTTTTGTTTTAATAAATGAATAAAAAACAACAAAGAGACTGACTGAAGTGATTTGTTTGTTGGTTACAAAAATAGAGATGCACACTTTGTACAATTAAGTGTTCCAATTTCAACTAAACTGAATAAAAGTATTAAAAGGCTCAACGATGCTGCCGAAAGTGGGCCGAGGGGGGGGGGGGGTGGAATTTGGTGAGGGATTGCTTGGAGTGTTAGAGAAAGTGTGACAACTCACGTTGTCATTTAAAAAAAAAATAATGTTAGAGGTCGTCCATAAATGACGTCACACTCGTAGGGGGGGGGGGGTCTTGCTTTTTGTGACGACACGCTTTTTTTACGAGTTTTACCTCCCCCCTCCCCTCCGTTACACGTCGTCACAAAAAGTCAGACCCCCCCTAAAATGACGTCACACCATCTGAAACCCCCACCCCCTCATCACACACCGTCACAAAATTGCTGACCCCCCCTCTCCCTTACGAGTGTGACGTCATTTATGGACGACCCCACATCAATTTTTTTTTTAAAGTCAGAAATTTACACATACAAAAAAAGGAAGGATGGTAGATTTACTATGAATTTAAATAACATACAACTCTATAGTAAAATATTTTTTTCAGTTTTAGCAAAACTGTCAAATTAAAAAACACAGAGTTTGTACATTTATTGCATAAATACAAAAATATAAAACAGAATGATTAACAGTGTATCAGTTTCACCATGAGACAAATGCCTTTTTTAAAGTACAATATAAATAAACAAGTCGTGTTTTTTAAATATTCATTTTTATTCATTTGCTAAAACAAAAATACAATACAAAAAATAAATCGTGTTTTCCTAATGTTTTGGTGTGTTTCGGTTGTTATAATAAAATACGCTCAACTGGAGGTAATCAAGCAACGGAGAATAAAATACGCTGAAATGGAGGTTTACCAGACCTAGATCTAGGATCTTAGTCATCATTAGTAGTTAGTACAGACAGTGACTTGACTCTTGAGTGAGTCGTGTAGTGTGTAATGAAAAGACAGGGAAGGGGTGTAAGTGTAGGCCGTAGGCATATTGGAAAAATCTCCCTGATAATTTTATAATTATACAAAGTAGGTCTAGAATTTACATATGGGAAAATTAATAAATTATAACCCATTAACACACAAAAATTATCAACTATCATTCTAGGCCAAGTAGTAATTTTTATTCAAATTTTCAAAGTTATGTGTTTACAGTAACTGATTATGTTTTACTAGCTGTTGGTACCAGTTACACGTAAATTATAGTTCTATATTATATTTTAACTAGACTTGTTTGAGAAAAATATTTTATAAATTAGTTATTGGTCAAAACACAATGTTCTTTACTACACATCGAACGATTAGTGAAAAAGCAAAGAAATAACTAAATAGCTAAATATCCGATACATTTGAAATTACCAATACATGTTAGAAAAACCAAATTATATACATTATTAGTTATTAGTCAACACAACACTATGCACACACACAGATTGAGAGACTTAAATGATTCCATTAAAAACCCGGCTGTTCAAAAAAGTTTTAAAAGTAATACAATTTAATTACTTTAGGCCGAGAAAATTGTATACATTTCATAGCATATGTCTTGATAAGTAGTTCTATAGATCTAAATCGAATTTGAAGGAAATAGTTAATTTCTTCTTATTCTAAAATTGGAAGATGACACCTTTAGTTTTGTGTACTTTCCCTAGTTTAAATATGTGACGTCATTGTTTTTTGCATTCTTTTCACGACAATAAACGTTTTTCTGGTTGCATAATTAAAATTTTGTTTCTACATTCAAATATGCCTTTATTTTTTATTTTTCTTCTCTAAAAGTACTAAAACAAATTTAGTTAATACATTTAAAACATCCAACATATTATTTTCAACAAAAGTCTGTATCATTAAATTCTCCATATATTGCTGAACATACTGATCACAATGCCTAAAAAATGTTGCGGACAGAGAGAGAGGTGCGCTGTTGAACTAAATTAGGATTGTAAATTGCATTCAAAAGTTGTGATTGGCTTTAAACTTGCATACTAATGTTGCTATTAAAGATATAATGATAAAACTTTGCACATTTGTACTCAATGATATAGGCAATAGAAGTCTGCAAATAAAATAAAAAATAGAAAAAAGATATCTAGAAATAATGAAGTCAAATTAGGGGGTGTAACACTTTACTATAGTGACTGCCATAGGATGATTTCTAGACTGCAAAGCTAGGTTGCTATTCCATATACCATCATGAAACTTTACATATTAGGACTAGAGAATGTAAAAATACAAACATGCTTGTAAAATAAACATAGCAAGGAAAACTATAAATCGTGAACTCGTATAATGGTACAGCGCTATTAGACTATGATTAATTAATTACAGGCAAATATATTGTACTTCTTTGTTGCTGCTATAAAAATAACGATTAAACTTTACAAATTGATTCTGGTGTAAGTAATAAGATTGCTAGTATACATACTTTTCAAATATAGCACAATGATTGAGATACTTAACAATTAGCAATAAACTTTGCATTTGTGTCACTGTATGACATGGTAAGAATTTTATTATTAATTTACAAAATTTTGGTTCTTGTAATGTTTCTGGAACAAAGTGTTGAGAAGTGCTAAAACACAAAGATAGGCATTTTACAGTATTCTTATTTATAAAATGTTTACTGACGTAGGCTACCCTTTGATAAATTCTTAAAACCACATTAATAAAAGTGTTCACGTTTCTGTGTTGGACTTTTCATTATAGTTTCCTATAAATAAAACTGTATAAACTGTAGCTTATAAAAATGGACATTATAATTTTTAATTTAGGTCCCTTATAGATCTAGATAGGCTATTTACATTTAAGCCTAATAGTTTTTTTTTATATTACACATCTCTAGACCCAATATTATTTTAGTCTTTGCATTTCCATTTAGATTCAATTTTAAAAAAAAAATCTAGATCTACTTGAAAATGCCTTTATAATCTATTTATCCGCCCAGAAATCATATTTATAATTGAAAAACTGGATAACAGCAAAATTATATTGGCAGAGCTGTGTTTGGTTAGTTTCAGATCTCCTCCCTTTGCTCTAATTTAATAATAGAGTTATCCTCCATGTTTTATTGTATCACATTCTTAATGGCCTAAAGTAAAACTGAAGAAAAAATTATTAGATGAATTGATTTTTCTATCATATTTATTGATCTGCACATGCTACAGTGTGATGTTCAATGATTTTTCCTCTCCAGTTTTATACACATACGTTGCAGTTTTTTTTACCTTTTCGAGGGAGTAAGATAGCATTAGGACTTTCCAAACAAATTTTATTTCATTGGGTAATCATTAGTACAGTTTCTAGTAGTATACTTATTTTGTTTTTGTAATGACTAGTAAATGTATATTATGGGAAATCTGTGCAGGGTCAGTTTTAAAGAGAAAACTTTCTAGCAGAAAGCTGTACATTTAAATTGGTTTAGTTTTTTTAACATTTAAAAAAAAATTGTTTTGTTTTCTTCTATCTTAGGTTTTCAGAATGACTGTTTGAATGAAATCACCAATGCAAGTTACAGGCCCATTGGTGGCTGAGCATCACCTTGAGACTGCAGTGATGGCGCGTAAAAAATGGACTTCATTCTATCCCACAGCTGGCATCTGTTTGCTTCTTTTCATTTTTGTAAACATCACTGTCTGGTGGCTGGCTCCGAGCTTTGTTGGCTCCAAGCTGAGCCGCAACCTGCCCCCAGAGCTGCAGAGCCCTGACACTGTCACGCTGACGACCAGCTCTCCAGAGGCAGACCCCCGGGATTTAAACTGTACTTTTCATAACTTCACCTGCTTAGAAGTTTATCATTGTGGATATGATGATAAGACTGTCATCAGTATTTACATCTACCCCATACAGCAGTATTATGATGAGATGGGGAATGACATAACACCCCCCATGTCCAGAGAGTTTGAGGAGATGCTGAGAGTCATATCCCAGAGTCCCTATTACACCAAGGATCCAGAGACTGCCTGCTTTTTCATTCCTTCCATAGACTTACTCAATCAAAACTGGGTCAAGTCACCACATCAAATTAGCCAGATCCTAGCTAGTCTAAAGTGGTAAGGATTCATTTGTTTCTCATTTCACATTCAGTTAAAAGATGGGTTTAAGTGTGTGTGTGTGTATATATATATATATATATATATGTGTGTGTGTGTATATATATATATATATATATATCCTGGAGATATATATATATATCCTGGAGATATATATATATATATATATATATATATATATATATATATATATATATATATATATATATATATATATATATATATATATATATATATATATATATATATATATATATATATATATATATATATATATATATATATATATATATATATATATATATATATATATATATATATATATATATATATATATATATATATATCCTGGAGATATTAAACCTAATTGTGTGTCTACTGGAGATATTTCACCTAGTTGTGTGCGTCCACAGGTGGAACCTGGGCAAAAATCACCTGTTGTTCAACATGCTGCCAGGTACTTCACCTGACTACACAAACTATTTGTCTCTCAACACAAGCAAAGCTATGGTGGTTGGGGGAGGTTTCTCTTCTATAACCTACCGCAGGACCTTTGATGTCACGGTCGCAGTGTACAACCCTCTACTGGAGGATGTTCACCTACAGCCAACATCACCCCTGTAAGTAGAACAATTGTCTACAGCCAACATCACCCCTGTAAGTAGAACAATTGTCTACAGCCAACATCACCCCTGTAAGTAGAACAATTGTCTACAGCCAACATCACCCCTGTAAGTAGAACAATTGTCTACAGCCAACATCACCCCTGTAAGTAGAACATTAGTCTTATGGTATAACCTTTGAATATCTGCAGGCAGTGTTTACTCTTGTACCTAATTGGTCCCAGCTCATCAGTTGAGCTGGGATACATTTATGCTTTCATACCCTTGTATTGATGACCGTGTAGTGCAGTGAAAAAAAGTCTTTTTATATTCCAATTTTTAAGCACCTTTAGTCTCAGCTTTGCTCAACAAAAGATAGGACTATTCAACAGTTTTTTACCTGTTTTTTCAGTGAAGAGCGCAAGTGGTTTTTGGTTTCAACCCAGTTTGGTTTAAATTCAGTGTATAAAACAAAAATTGAAGGTTTAGCTAAGGCCGACACTAAAGTGCTTGTAGTAGAGCGGTGCGGGCAGACATTCAACTATTCTGTCAGGTGTGATTCACAGGGCCATGAGTTTGCCTACCCTGGTATTTTACAGGTAAGTCACACTGCATTACTAGCAATTTATCCCATTGTCATCTATTAGGTAGACATGGTCTATTTAACACAAATATTCTATTGTTAGGCTGGAAAATTAAAAAGGAAAATCTTCCACTTCTCTGTGAACAGTAGCACTCTTGTTATTATATCTTCAGTTTGTGTTTTATAGATATGAATATGTACAATGACAGTCTTCTCTTTAGTCCATGTTAAAGCTGTATACAACATTGACAACTCTTAACAAAAAATACTTTTAATTTGAAGGAAGCAACCTTTTGTTTGGTTGTCCGTGGCAACCGGCTTGGTCAGCCATCACTTATGGATGTCCTGATGGCTGGTTGTATTCCTGTCGTTGTGGCTGATGGCTATTTGCTGCCCTTCCATGAGGTCTTAGACTGGACTAGGTAGGTCATCTGATGGCTATTTGCTGCTCTTCCATGAGGTCTTAGACTGGACTAGGTAGGTCATCTGATGGCTATTTGCTGCCCTTCCATGAGGTCTTAGACTGGACTAGGTAGGTCATCTGATGGCTATTTGCTGCCCTTCCATGAGGTCTTAGACTGGACTAGGTAGGTCATCTGATGGCTATTTGCTGCCCTTCCATGAGGTCTTAGACTGGACTAGGTAGGTCATCTGATAGCTATTTATATTTTATAGTTACACTTGTGACATGAGTTTGATTCCTTCCCACTAGGGCATCTGTCCACATCCATGAAGAAGAGCTGTCTGATGTTCTGGCTATACTAAAGAACTACAGCATGGAGCGTGTGCTGGACATGCGCAAGCAGGTGCAGTTCTACTGGGAGAGATACTTCAACTCCCTCGCAAACATCACACTAACTGCGGTCAAGATCATCAACGATAGGGTCTTTCCATTTGATGCCAGAACTTATGACCAGTGGAACGAGCTACCCAATAAGGTCAGCAGCTTTATTTCTATAAGACTTACCTTCAGCCCCCTGCAAACAGCCGTCCATCAAATAGTATAAGACTTACCTTCAGCCCCTGCAAACAGTTGTCCATCAAATAGTATAAGACTTACCTTCAGCCCCCTGCAAACAGTCGTCCATCAAATAGTTTTGTTTCCACCTCCTGCAGAAAGCCATAAAGAGTCCCCTTTTTCTACCGTTGAGGGCCCCCAAATCTCTGGGCTTCACGGCAGTTATTTTAACCTATGACCGGATTGACTCCTTGTTTCAAGTGGTCCGCCAGGTTGGCAAAGTTCCCAGTCTGGCTAAAATCATTGTTGTCTGGAACAATCAGGAGAAGGTGCCGCCCCCAAGTAAGTTGTTTGCTTCTTACGCTTTTTTATGGAAATCTGCTTCTTCAAATTGAGTTGAACAGTCAGGCTAAATTTTTCCTGGACTGGATTTGTCAGAAAAAGATCTGAAAGCTTTTCCACTAATTCCTTCTCTAATTTATTTGGAGAAAAATGAAAAAGAAAAAAGTGAATTATTAAAAAAGGGGACTGTTAAGTATGTAACAGAAACTTTTGCTATAGGCCCACATAGCCCAGATCATCCCTCACCTGCTTCATTGGTCTTCATTGATCAGGAGGTCTATATGTGTCTAGCTCAATGTCTGTCTCAATTCTATAATTATATATATAATATTATTCAAATGTTTTCTTTCAGTATCAGACTGGCCAAACACTGGGAAACCTATTAAAGTTATCACAACAAAATACAATCGTCTGAGTAACAGGTGAGTCATATGGCAGTTATCACAACAAAATATAATCTGGGTAACAGGTGAGTTATGGTAACATTGACCAGGTTAGCTGAGGTGGTGATGACTTGGTGATACAGTTTGTAGGTTGGTGATACAATTTTTAGGTTGGTGATACAATTTGTAGGTTGGTAATACAGTGTGTTGGTTGGTGTTACAGTGTGTAGGTTGGTGATACAGTGTGTAGGTTGGTGATACAATGTGTAGGTTGGTGATATAGTTGGTTGGTTATTGATTCCAGATTTTACCCCTATGATGAAATAGAAACAGAATGTATCCTGGCACTAGATGATGACATTGTCATGCTGACACCTGATGAAATAGAGTTTGGATTTGAGGTTGGTTTCCTTAGTAAAGATTCGCTCGTTTGTTTTTGGACACTTTAAACACCTTTAATACTAAGGCAGTCCTTTAAATTTTATCATCTAATATTGGACCAATGGTAATGTTGGTCAATGATGGTGTTGACCAATGATGATGTTGACCAACGATGATGTTGATGTTGACCAATGATGATGTTGACTAATGATGATCTTGACCAATGATGATGTTGACCAACGATGATGTTGACCAACGATGATGTTGATGTTGACCAATGATGATGTTGACTAATGATGATCTTGACCAATGATGATGTTGACCAATGATGATGTTGACCAATGATGATGTTGACCAATGATGGTGTTGACCAATGATAATGTTGGCCAATGATGTTGTTGACCAACGATGATGTTGATGTTGACCAACGATGATGTTGATTTTGACCAACGATGATGTTGATGTTGACCAATGATGATGACTAATGTTGTTGTTGACCAACGATGATGTTGATGTTGACCAATGATGATGACTAATGTTGTTGTTGACCAATGATGATGTTGAACAATGATGATGTTGACCAATGATGTTGACCAATGATGATGTTGACCAGTAGCTTCCTAAACCTGCAGGTGTGGAGAGAAAATCCAGACAGACTTGTTGGTTATCCGTCCCGCCTCCACATCTGGAAGAATGATAGCCAGAGCTATAGCTACGAGTCTGAGTGGATGAATGCTATCTCCATGGTGCTGACAGGGGCTGCCTTCCACCACAAGGTCAGTCTCTCACTCTAGCGGCGTGCTTTATAAGGTCATGTCATTAAACTTGAGGTGTGCCATAAGTATCTTATACTCAGAAAATAAATATGTTCCAGAAATATATTTCTTATATAAAATAGTTTTATAGATATAAAATAGTTTATACACATAACAAATGATTTCTACTATTCTCTTACATATACACATCACATATGTTTTATGTATTTCTTCAGTATTTTTCGTACATGTACACATATGGAATGCCAGGTAACCTAAAGCAGTGGGTGGATGAACACATCAACTGTGAGGACATCGCCATGAATTTCCTGGTTACAAATGTCACTGGCAAAGCACCAATCAAGGTAAATCATAACTTGTTTAGTTGACGGTTTTTTAGGGGAACCTAAACACATCTTCTGTCATAAGGGAATCTAACCACATCTTCTATTATTTAGGGAATCTAACCACATCTTCTATTATTTAGGGAATCTAAACACATCTTCTATTATTTGGGGAATCTAACCACATCTTCTATTATTTAGGGAATCTAAACACATCTTCTATCATAAGGGAATCTAAATACATCTTACATCATTAGCGAATCTAACCACATCTTACATCATTAGGGAATCTAAGCACTGGTCATTCGTTCCACTGCATTTCTGTTGGTTCTATTTGACCAATCTGTAGCTGACCTTCACTATTTTACCTCTAATTTTCTTCTGAGCCAATTTTTATTCTGGCCTAACTTTGTGTCATCACAGGGTCTTGACATTTGCAATCCCTCTGTCATCATATCTACCAATTTGTAGAACATGTAAACTTATTTTTTAAAAGATATTGCCTTTATAGAAAACGACTTTGAGTTTCATCTGGTCCCCCATAAAAAGTTGACATCTTTGACTTTCAGGTGGTCCCCCGTAAGAAGTTCAAATGTCCTGAGTGTGTGAAGGAGATGCTGTCAGCTGACATGTCCCACATGGTGGAGAGGTCAGAATGCATCAACTATTTTGTTGAGCTCTACGGCTCCATGCCACTCCGGCCCATTGAGTTCAGAGCTGACCCGTGCTTATATAAGGACAAGCTGCCTGGTGTGCTGAAGAAATACACAGACCTTGGAACCTTATGATCTGGCGTGGGACACAATTTGTCTGTGAATGTGGTTGTCGTGTGATACAATTTTTCTGTGAGAGAATGTGGTTGTCGTGTGATACAATTTGTCTGTAAGAGAATGTGATCTGTCGTGGGACACAATTTGTCTGTAAGAGAATGTGATCTGTCGTGGGACACAATTTGTCTGTGAATGTGGTTGTCGTGTGATACAATTTGTCTGTGAGAGAATGTGGTTGTCGTGTGATACAATTTGTGAATGTGGTTGTCAATTAGTGAGATTGTGATTTGTGTTTATGCCATGGTAGTTTGCCCAGAGCCATTAAAGTTTTCTACACTTCCTGCCTTGGACTGTTCAGTTCTAGAGATTATGTATTGCTCATTTCCCTGCAATGTGCACTAAAATCTCTTTTCTCTAGATCAGTGTTTCTTTCAAACATTTTTCTCCTTGGAGCAGAGGGGTCGTAACCTTACAGGGGGGGGGGACATAATTTGTAAATAAATTCTGTTTTGTTCAGGTGAGAGTTAGACATACTTTCCAGAAGAGATACCTGAAAGAAACTCTGCTCTATGGAACCATTAATCTATCTTTTAATTTGTGGGATACACAAGCAGTTTTTAATGTAAACTATGGGCTACATGAGTATGATTTTTTTGTAAGACTGATCTGAAATTTTGTTTTACTCAATTGCTATATTAAAAAATGTTTTTGTTTTTTTATTCATATTTGTAATAATTATGCCATTTTGCTTTACTAAATAATGTGCAATTTAAAATTTAGCATTGATTGTATATTTAAAAACATGTTTAGCTTTGATTTTGAAGCAGCACAACCATTTTACATTGTCTGATAGTGATGAGAAGAAAGCTTCTTGTCTTATAGAACACCTCCAGAGAGAGAAATGTATTTGTTTTCATGTTTTGTTCACCAGCACTAGCTTGTCTACATTGAGACTCAGGGTGCTGAAGTTATGTCATGCCAAGATGGTGGATTATCTGTCAGCCATAGAATGTAATTTGTAACTCTGATAGTTTTTTTGTGATAGATTATGATTCAATCACACATTTTAATTCAATATATGTTTATATTATCACTTGGGCAAATGTATTTATTTAAAGAAATTTGTTTTAAAGTGTCTATGAATGTGATACTAGCAACCCCCCCCCCCCCCTTTGAATGTACATATTAGACCAGCTCTGGAAGTCCTACATACTGTTGTGTCTGTAGTTCTTTGTGACAGTCAGTGTAAGAAATGGCTAACTTGACATTTTAGGAAAATTCATAAGTTTAGGGTCTAGGTAATAAGTTTCATGGCAAAGCTAGGAGGTAACCTCCCTTTGGCTGTTTTAAATTATGTTTGTTCAACTTATTTTTTACCTATTAAGCCACCATCATCTTAACTGTAAACATGTTTTTTTGTATACATATTGTTGAGTGGGACACAAGAGGGCCAGATAAATTTTGAAACACTTGAGTAGCTTGGTTATTTCACTTGTGGTTTGATGTCAATTTGATGATGTAAATAAAATCTATTATTCATAACATACATACTTTGCATTAATCAGTTTGTTTGAGCATCAAAGATACTGGCCAAAAAACATTGCGTAAAAAAGATACTGGCTGGCAAGAAATGATCAGAGAAACAAAAAGACATTGTGGGTGTAATTTTAATCTTAGAATATCCACAACTTGAGTTACATACAATATATTGCACAGATTTTGTTCACAACTTAGACAACAAATATTTGTTCAAAAATATTAATAAAATGCAATTATAATTACTGACAAATCACTGCTACTAATTAAATAAATTCATATGTTTTTTTGCCTGGCAAAAATTAAGTGATGCTTGTAATTTATCACTCCTTATTTCTAAAATGCCTTATAGCAATCCATAATACTATAAAGGGACATCCATTTATGACATCCACACCAGAAGAGACGGGGGTCTGGATAAGTGGTTTTGACTAAAGCATGTGGAGTGGGGGTTCTGGCTCTAGTGGTTGTGACCTGTTGAGCTGCATTTTCGTGTATACAAAATCTAAACCTTTAAAGGAATTGCTTGAGTTCACAAAGTCTATCTCGGAGGCAATAATACTTTTAAACTTTAAGTTTTGAGAAGTCTGTTAAATTTTCCCACTTTTTGTGGATGTCATAAATGGATGAGCCGTAATGCCATAAATATTACTCTGTAAACATATGGTGGGATAAGATAATACTGAGGTCACCACTACACTGACAAACAACAGGCAGATAGGTTTTGTTCTGATCATCACAACCTAAGCAAACATAGAGTAATACATGTGTCCAGAACAAAAAAACTCATTTTAATAGCTGTAAATCAATAATATTGAAACCAGTGTTGACTAGAAGAACCAAGATTGCACTACGCCCAAGATTGATTGCCCTGAACCCAAGATTGCACCAAAGTGAACTATAAATTAACCAGGTCTGTGGTAGACCCCAATGAGCCAAAATTGGCTTTCAAAATGACAAAGGAAAATCTTTTATCACAAAGTCAATAAATATCACAATAATTGTCACTTATATACATCAGCTTGCAAGTAATTTGGTGATAAATTATAGTACTGCTACATTCAAGACAACATAAACATCTTTTGGAATAAAATATCATCAGTGCATCAGGAATTAGAGAATGTTTAGTTTTTTATAATTAGAGAAGACTTAGTTATACTGCAAAGTTAAAATTTTCATTAAGTAATCAAGTCAACATATTGAAGCAATTTTCATCAGTCATGTATTACAACAAAATGAAAATAGATTTAATGTGATGCATCTACAAATACAAGCTTGTTCATAGTGTAAGTAAGTTGGCCATAGTTGATTGTGGGGGTTCATTTGGCTGAGGGTTAGACGCAGGGATTTAAGAATGACAGTAATGAAATGTTTGGCTACGGGTTAGATGATGGGACTTAGAGCTGAGAGTAATGAAATGTTTGGCTGTGGGTTAGATGATGGGACTTAAAGATGAGAGAAATGAAATGTACCAACTTAAAAAACAAAAAATGCAGTTGTAAAGTGGAAGATCTCTAGGGAGATTTGACAGGAGCAAAGTTATAGAGTTTACCCAGTCTGTTGAAGCACTGAGCCAGCTGTTCCCTTAGTGCCGCGTCTGAGGCATTCAAGATCAGGTGGCTGACCATGGTGAAGGTCACAGGCAGCAGGGAGGAAAAACAATGGTCGTTAAGGTTCATAATCATCTGCAGGACAGCTGTCAGCATATCTGACCAAGCCTGGATGTGAGCCTCACTGTCCTGTAACAAACAGTTTAATTCTAACATAGGTGTCACACCACACCAACAAGATGTCACACCCCACCAACAATACAAAGGTGTCACACCCCACCAACAAGGTGTCACACAACACCAACATAGGTGTCACACAACACCAACAAAGATGTTTCACCACACCAACAAAGATGTTTCACCACACCAACAAAGATGTTTCACCACACCAACAAAGATGTTTCACCACACCAACAAAGATGTTTCACCACACCATAAAGATTACCTTCATGATGGAACTCTTCTGCTGTTTTTCAATGTTCTCATCAACAGCGACTTTCCTTTGTACCTGTAGCCTTGACCTTTGAAACTTGGGTAGCCTGACAAAGTTGGGCATGGAGCGCTGATGTTTGTGTCTCTTGTACTGATGCATCAGGGTTTCTATCACCTGGTCTGTGGCTACAGTGTAAACCTGGGACATAACAGAACATTAGGTGAGGACATGAAGACACAACAGACAGGTGAGGACATGAAGACACAGGTGAGGACATGAAGACACAATGTACACAGGTGAGGACATGAAGACACAGGTGAGGACATGAAGACACAACAGACACAGGTGAGGACATGAAGACACAGGTGAGGACATGAAGACACAACAGACACAGGTGAGGACATGAAGACACAGGTGAGGACATGAAGACACAACAGACACAGGTGAGGACATGAAGACACAGGTGAGGACATGAAGACACAATGGACACAGGTGATGACATGAAGACACAACGGACACAGGTGAGGACATGAAGACACAGGTGAGGACATGAAGACACAACAGACACAGGTGAGGACATGAAGACACAACAGACAGGTGAGGACATGAAGACACAGGTGAGGACATGAAGACACAGGTGAGGACATGAAGACACAATGGACACAGGTGATGACATGAAGACACAACGGACACAGGTGAGGACATGAAGACACAGGTGAGGACATGAAGACACAGGTGAGGACATGAAGACACAAGAGACACAGGTGAGGACATGAAGACACAACAGACAGGTGAGGACATGAAGACACAGGTGAGGACATGAAGACACAGGTGAGGACATGAAGACACAATGGACACAGGTGATGACATGAAGACACAACGGACACAGGTGAGGACATGAAGACACAGGTGAGGACATGAAGACACAGGTGAGGACATGAAGACACAAGAGACACAGGTGAGGACATGAAGACACAACAGACACAGGTGAGGACATGAAGACACAGGTGAGGACATGAAGACACAGGTGAGGACATGAAGACACAACAGACACAGGTGAGGACATGAAGACAGTTTGGTCAAGAACAACCAAAGAGCTTTTGACAGGGTATTTGCAAGTCCAGTTTTTTTAACTACTTACATACAATTTGACTAAGGCAGTGATATGACCCCACTTAAAACTACTTACTTTACTCTCCAACTCTTCTCTAATTTCCCTCTTGCTTTTCATCCGACTCTCATCCTCTTCCTCCTCTCTTATGACATCACTCTCTTTGCTGATCTCACTGTGAGTGTCATCATCTGTGTTAGATTCCAGCTCGGAGTCCTGCTCAACTGAACAAACAAATGAGATGAGAAATTACATCAGCTGAGTTCTGCTCAACTGAACATACAAATGACAGGAAAATTACAAGACTGTTTTAAAACTGGTCTGAATCTATCTACAGCCTAAAGGAACTAATCTACCAGTATAGATAAAGGAATTACTTTGTGGGGTGCTGACATCAAAGTTGACTGGTTTCACAGCCCCTGACTCAAAAGGTTTGGGCTGGGACTTAAGAAATTTGCTGGGCTCTTTGCTTGCAGCAGCCAGGGAGTGAACCTGGGAGGCTATCTGGGCGATGTCGTCGTGTTGAACTGTCAGGAAGAAGATAGGTTTCTCTGCCATCTTGTCCAGCAATGAGCCTTTGCCAGCATGACTGAGCACCTCCATGTAGCTCTGGCACAGCTCCTCACAAGTTATCTGCAGCAGGGGTAGGAAGATCTTCCCACTGCTCAATGGTTTGGCCAGAGACAGGCTAGCTTGCTGGTTCAGCTGACACATTGAAGGCAGCACCCCGGGAGTATCAGGTGATTCAGATACTGGTGTAATGGCAACTCTGTCAAAAGTAAAGTAACAAAAAACTTTAAGGCCCAGTTGCACCATGGGGCAGATGAAGTAGAGTTCACCTATTTCTTTGACCAATTAAATGTGTTCTCTACCACTTGATCATGCTGTCCCACTAACTGAATACAATCTTTTCAGAGCTTTAATCCATTTTTTGTAATGACCGCATTAACTTCTTTCTATCTAAGCACCAGTAGATAGAGAACTTACTGAGTGGATGTGATACTGACCAGTAGATAGATAACTTACTGAGTGGATGTGATACTGACCAGTGGATAGAGAACTTACTGAGTGGATGTGATACTGACCAGTGGATAGAGAAACTGAGTGGATGTGATACTGACCAGTGGATACAGAATTTACTGAGTGGATGTGATACTGACCAGTGGATAGAGAACTTACTGAGTGGATGTGATACTGACCAGTGGATAGAGAAACTGAGTGGATGTGATACTGACCAGTGGATACAGAATTTACTGAGTGGATGTGATACTTACCAGTGGATAGAGAACTTACTGAGTGGATGTGATACTGACCAGTGGATACAGAACTTACTGAGTGGATGTGATACTGACCAGTGGATAGAGAACTTACTGAGTGGATGTGATACTGACCAGTGGATAGATAACTTACTGAGTGGATGTGATACTGCTGTTGTCCAGGCTTGCACAGATCTCCACCAAGCTGTGAACATGGAACAACATGGCAGACGCAGCCTGTTTGTACAGATTGGCAGCCACGTCCAGGCAAGCCACCTTCTGGAGCAGGAACTTCAGACCTGGCCGAGCATCAAACTCTTGTGCAACAATAAAGACATCATGGAGTGCAGAGAGAAACTGATGGATGTTTCGTGTGGACATGTGTTCCATCAAACCTAGGAGATATTAACATATTTTACACTTGATGGACTTGTTTTGTCAATAGATGACATGACACACAAAAACTGGACATTAGGATTCTCTACCATTTCAAACATTATAATCAAAGCCAATTAGATGAAATGTTGGTAACAAGAAAGATGACTAGTTCTAGCACCTAAACTTACCAGGCAAAGATAACTATAACTCCAGCACCTAAACCTACCAGGCAAAGATAACTATAACTTCAGCACCTAAACCTACCAGGCAAAGATGACTCCTGGTCAAGCTTCTGATTCTTGTCCAGCAAAATGGAGCCAACAGTTTGCAGCAGGAGTTGATTAGATAGCAGGCCCACTATCACATGACGGAACGGAACCCTGAACAAATTGTAAACACATCCATTTTACATTAACAATCACTTAAATAATAGACTTCTGTGAATGACATCAAAAGAGAATAATTAATTTTATTACTTTAATATTTCTAAAACGTAAAAATTACTCAACTTGCAAATATAATTATAAAAATTAACTGTATGTAAGATTGTGTCTTCAAATGATACAGTCATCTTGACAAAAATCAGTGAAATTGAAGTGAAGAAAACATGTTGAGAAAAACTAAACCTGGTAGTGATATGGTCTGGATTAAGACTAAACCTGGTAGTGATATGGTCTGGATTAAGACTAAACCTGGTAGTGATATGGTCTGGATTAAGACTAAACCTGGTAGTGATATGGTCTGGATTAAGACTAAACCTGGTAGTGATATGGTCTGGATTAAGACTGTCTTGATGTCCAGGTGGGTACAGGAGGAAGACAAAAGATTTGTCTTGGTCAGTGTCGTACTGGACATCTGGCATGGAGGAGACTTGACTGTCCAGTAGAAACACCTGCAAGATCATCAATAAACTTGAGCAATTGGTTTAATGATGTGGGCCAACAATAACAGCTGTGATGTCTGTGTGACAGGCAGAACTTACCTGTCTGGCCATCTGTCTGAGCCTCAGACAGTCAACAACAGTGCAGTCTTTCCTGGTGGCGACCTTGACCTGCCCAATGTCCCCGTAAAAGTTGTCAGAGTTGGGGTGAAAGAGAGCCATCAGGAGCTGCAGGTTGTACGTGGTGACACTCAGGGCCTGACGCACGGCTATGGCGCTCACCTGCCACAGCTGTTCTGACATGGAGGCTCCCGCAGACAGAAGGACATGCCTACAAAATCAATCATAGTTGGTAAATAGGGCTATATTTTAAAACAAATTGAACAACCTTTAAGTCTAGTAAATGTCAATATCACTCCTTCAGTGTGAGAGTCTGAGCAATCAATATACCTGATACAAGAGCAGCCAAGGCGGGAGATATTTTCTACAGGTTGGGCAACACATTCTTTAAAGACATCAAATGTTTGTTTCAGCATCAACTGCAGTGGGTCCTCCACAGATGGCTCACCTAGGATAGAAGATTGTTGGGATCAGCTCCGGGTAAATGGGGTAGGTCATCAAACTACTTGCTGGCTTAACATGAACACTCACTGGAGAATTTCTTGAGGAACTCCACCACCAGATCAGCCACCAGACCACAGCACTGTTTAAAGCTGATGATGGCAGTGTTCCAGTAACCATAGCAACGAGAGCCACGCCGCAGCCAGGACTGGAGCATGGGGAGCAGCTGGTGGTTCACACAGTACATGGCAAACTCTGGGCCTGGCACAAATAGGAGGAAATGACAGATGGCATGAGGATATGACGGCATGAGGATATGACAGATGACATGAAGATATGACAGATGGCATGAGGATATGATGGCATGAGGATATGACAAATGACATGACAGATGACATGAAGATATGACAGATGGCATGAGGATATGACAGATGGCATGAGGATTTGACAGATGACATGAGGATTTGACAGATGACATGAGAGATGACAGATGACATGAGGATATGACAGATGACATGAGGATATGACAGATGACATGACAGACGGCATGAGGATATGACAGATGACATGACAGATGGCATGAGAATATGACAGATGGCATGAGGATATGACAGATGACATGAGGATATGACAGATGGCATGAGGATATGACAGATGACATGAGGATATGACAGATATCATGAGGATATGACAGATGGCATGAGGATATGACAGATGGCATGAGGATATGACAGATGACATGAGGATTTGACATCTGGCACAAATAGGATATGACAGATGACATGAGGATTTGACATCTGGCACGTGTGAGTTGTACTGTACCTGGGACATGAGCAGCCAACTTGAGCAGGTCAATCAAGGTGCCAAGAGCATGTGACTGGCTGGACTTGGGGCAGTGGTTGATGGCAGAGACCAGGCCATCCAGCAGCAGGAACCAGACGTGTAGGACGCCAGACTTGCTGTCCATGTCATCCAGTGACCTGTAGCTGCCCAGATGGGTTGTGCTCTGTGTGCTGGACACATCATACGCAGTGAAGTTGTCCCCCCATCCCTGTGTCTCATGACAAGCTGAAAGCCCAGACAGTGTTGCAGGTCTGGTGCTGGCACTCTCCTTAGCACCTTCACAAGCCTGGACTTGACTACTTTCTACCTGTGTTTCCTCCCTGGGGCAGCCAGATGGCCTGTCAGCATCAGCATCCAGGACCTGCGAGCTAGTTACTGGGGTGTCCTGGCCCTCAGCCTGCTGCACATCTGTGCCACTGTTGTCTGGGCGCTGCACATCTGTGCCACTGTTGTCTGGGCGATGCACATCTGTGCCACTGTTGTCTGGGCAACTCACATCCCTGCCCTCAACACCAGCCACGCCTGACTGCACCTGCTCACCTTTAACTGGTAGGGACTCATCTTTTAAACCTGCCTGGACATCTGCAGTGTTGCATACAGAGGTTGGGGTACATAAAAATTCATCAGCAAATTGTTTAAAGTTCATGAAAGGAATTTCATGATCCACAGTGCGACAAGCAGAATCAGTCTGAATTCTGAAACAACAAATTCAACCCCAACAATAATTGACAGGGACCAAAATACATGTTCTAAAGAGAGAAATTAAATAGGAAAAAAAAACATTCCACTGGGAACATTATTTTTAAAGATAGGTCTAAAATACAAAGAGAGGAGAAAAAACTAGCACCTACCTATGAGCACCTTTAAAAATGGGACAAGCTGGCATCTGCCACATGGAAGTCAAAATCTGGCACACCTGTGTCAGGTATTTGAGGGCAGGAACACACAGGTTCTCCAGCTCGCCTTCAGCACTGCCGTACTCGTCGTCACTGCCAGACTCTGATCTGTCATCACTGAAGTCACTGTCAAATGTTGCTGGTGGAGAATAAGGGCTTGTTACTTTGGTGTCACTGATCAAATCCAGACTGTACCCCGACTTAACAGATAAAGCATGTATCTAGTTCAATTACCTGGACCATGCACATATTTGAGCAGACAGAGTATACAGTCCACTGTAGCATTAGCAAAGACTGTGACATTGTCCATGCTGAGGTAGACATTGAACACATCCATCACTGCAGCAACATGCCTCTGACGTGCTTCATTCACAGCCTCACTAGTTGTGTATTCTATCTTTACAGAGCGTAGAGCTCCAAACAGGGGACGCCATCCAGACTGGAGCTGAGAGCTACAAGCCTCCACCAGCTCACATATACAACATACAATCTGAAGACAACAATAAAAACTAGATCAGCCATCATCACTGTGCTGTAAGCCTCCACCAGCTCACATATACAACATACAATCTGAAGACAACAATAAAAACTAGATCAGCCATCATCACTGTGCTGTAAGCCTCCACCAGCTCACATATACAACATACAATCTGAAGACAACAATAAAAACTAGATCAGCCATCATCACTGTGCTGTAAGACTCCACCAGCTCACATATACAACATACAATCTGAAGACAACAATAAAAACTAGATCAGCCATCATCACTGTGCTGTAAGCCTCCACCAGCTCACATATACAACATACAATCTGAACAATAAAAACTAGATCAGCCATCATCACTGTGTTGTAAGCCTCCACCAGCTCACATATACAACATACAATCTGAACAATAAAAACTAGATCAGCCATCATCACTGTGCTGTAAGCCTCCACCAGCTCACATATACAACATACAATCTGAAGACAACAATAAAAACTAGATCAGCCATCATCACTGTGCTGTAAGCCTCCACCAGTCTTAAATCTCTCACAGATTAACACTCTAACATAAAGATGTGATATTAAAAAAGTATGTACCTAGTACTGTACGACTCATGGTAGGTTCCTATCATAGCTGTGCCCACAAACTAAATTTTTAATTATGTTTAACATTATTAATTTACGATGAAAAGACAATTTGAAAATTCCTACAATCGGCATTCTACCTCTCTCTACCTACATGAACGACTGGTATACTAAGTCAAAGTATTGGTGATAACATTCTACCTCTCTCTACTTACATGAACGACTGGTACACTAAGTCAAAGTATTGGTGATAACATTCTACCTCTCTCTACTTACATGAACGACTGGTACACTAAGTCAAAGTATTGGTGATAACATTCTACCTCTCTCTACTTACATGAACGACTGGTACACTAAGTCAAAGTATTGGTGATAACATTCTACCTCTCTCTACTTACATGAACGACTGGTACACTAAGTCAAAGTATTGGTGATAACATTCTACCTCTTTCTACTTACATGAACGACTGGTACACTAAGTCAAAGTATTGGTGATAATTCATGTTCAAATGTTGATTAAAATAATAATCAATATTGTTGCAATATTCATAGTCTTCATTTTTTATTTAGAGTCTTGATAGAATAAGTGTACTCTGTTTCATATTCTAAATAATTGCCTAAAGAATGTATAATTTATTTGTTTTACACATGGTTTGCCAACTTTAGGTATTCTATAGAATGCAAAGGAATTGTATTAAATGTCTGGTTTCTCATATATATTGTATATTACAAAATAAAGGTATTTCATCAAAAAGCTCAAGACATAGATTCTAGCATATCCTCAAAGGTTTTTCACATATATTCATTGACATGTTATACCTGGTCCTGTACATCCCCGTCACACAGCTCAAGACACAGCATATCCTCAAAGGTTTTTCACATATATTCATTGACATGTTATACCTGGTCCTGTACATCCCCGTCACACAGCTCAAGACACAGCATATCCTCAAAGGTTTTACACACATATTCATTGACATGTTATACCTGGTCCTGTACATCCCCGTCACACAGCTCAAGACACAGCATATCCTCAAAGGTTTTACACACATATTCATTGACATGTTATACCTGGTCCTGTACATCCCCGTCACACAGCTCAAGACACAGCATATCCTCAAAGGTTTTACACACATATTCATTGACATGGAAGTAGGCTTTCTCTTCTCTCTGGCTCACAAGGGAGACAATAAACTCATGGATGGAGGTCACTGCCATCTTGGAGATCACATGATCAGGGTTTCCTGTAGCCTGATAAGTAGATGAAATGAGAAATGAGATGTCTAACACAGCAGGTACAGGATGTCAAGCACACAAGAGACTTAAGAACTATACAGACCTGGACTAGATAAGGGGAGACAACACTCCAAACCCTCAAGAGGTGGAGCAAGGGCCGGGAGCTGTTGACAACACGCACCAAGACCTGCTGCAGCCTGTACAGATGGAGAGCGTTGGTGGGGGGCCGGCTGCTGGCCCTCTCACCCCCCAGTCTTTGCTGCTGTACCACCGTGGCCTCACCCAGCTCCCTCAGAAAACTCAGGAGGGCATCTAGACAAAGTTTGTCAGCAGCGTCCTCAAACAGGCTGGGGAATTAGAGGTTTAAAACAGGCTGGGGAATTATAGGTTTAAAACAGGCTGGGGAATTGTAGGTTTAAAACAGGCTGGGGAATTGTAGGTTTAAAACAGGCTGGGGAATTAGAGGTTTAAAACAGGCTGGGGAATTAGAGGTTTAAAACAGGCTGGGGAATTGTAGGTTTAAAACAGGCTGGGGAATTATAGGTTTAAAACAGGCTGGGGAATTAGAGGTTTAAAACAGGCTGGGGAGATGTGTACCTGTCAACTTCCTGAGAGAGACCACACAATGCTTTAGATGCCTGTGAGAATGTCAGCACCCCTCCAGCAGCTAGTGAGTTATCCCAGCCAGACTCCAGTCCACTCTGTTGTATCAGGGCTGGCACATTGATCCTAGGGGCCACAGGAACTGCTGGTGCAATATGGCCAGAGTACATGTCTGTTTCACAGCTTCTGAGGGGAAATTTGGTTCAATGCTTCACAGCAAGTAGCACGGTAAAGGTTAAAGCTTGTAAGATTTGATTTAATAAAAGGAATACAATGAACCCTTCTGTACTAACCCATCAGCTTCTGCTCCATCTTTGGCCAAGGCTCCATGTGTAATCTTTGGTAAACTGGACTGGTTGTTGCCTTGGCTAAAATAAGTGTGTTCCAGCTCAGAGATGTGAGCACAGCACCTGAAATAGATGATGGATGTAAGTGATGTGTGTGGACAGGGATGTAAGTGATGTATGTGGACAGGGATGTAAGTGATGTGTGTGGACCTGTGGACATGGATGTAAGTGATGTGTGTGGACAGGGATGTAAGTGATGTGTGTGGACAGGGATGTAAGTGATGTGTGTGGACAGGGATGTAAGTGATGTGTGTGGACCTGTGGACATGGATGTAAGTGATGTGTGTGGACAGGGATGTAAGTGATGTGTGTGGACAGGGATGTAAGTGATGTGTGTGGACAGGGATGTAAGTGATGTGTGTGGACAGGGATGTAAGTGATGTGTGTGGACATGTGGACAGGGATGTAAGTGATGTGTGTGGACAGGTGGACAGGGATGTGTGTGGACAGGGATGTAAGTGATGTGTGTGGACAGGGATGTAAGTGATGTGTGTGGACAGGGATGTAAGTGATGTGTGTGGACAGGGATGTAAGTGATGTGTGTGGACAGGGATGTAAGTGATGTGTGTGGACAGGTGGACAGGGATGTGTGTGGACAGGGATGTAAGTGATGTGTGTGGACAGGGATGTAAGTGATGTGTGTGGACCTGTGGACATGGATGTAAGTGATGTGTGTGGACAGGGATGTAAGTGATGTGTGTGGACATGGATGTAAGTGATGTGTGTGGACAGGGATGTAAGTGATGTGTGTGGACAGGGATGTAAGTGATGTGTGTGGACAGGGATGTAAGTGATGTGTGTGGACAGGGATATAAGTGATGTGTGTGGACAGGGATGTAAGTGATGTGTGTGGACAGGGATGTAAGTGATGTATGTGGACAGGGATGTAAGTGATGTGTGTGGACAGGGATATAAGTGATGTGTGTGGACAGGGATGTAAGTGATGTGTGTGGACAGGGATATAAGTGATGTGTGTGGACAGGGATATAAGTGATGTGTGTGGACAGGGATGTAAGTGATGTGTGTGGACAGGGATATAAGTGATGTGTGTGGACAGGGATGTAAGTGATGTGTGTGGACAGGGATGTAAGTGATGTGTGTGGACAGGGATGTAAGTGATGTGTGTGGACAGGGATGTAAGTGACGTGTGTGGACAGGGATGTAAGTGATGTGTGTGGACAGGGATGTAAGTGATGTGTGTGGACAGGGATGTAAGTGATGTGTGTGGACCTGTGGACAGGGATGTAAGTGATGTGTGGACAGGGATGTAAGTGATGTGTGTGGACATGTGGACAGGGATGTAAGTGATGTGTGTGGACAGGGATGTAAGTGATGTGTGTGGACAGGGATGTAAGTGATGTGTGTGGACAGGGATGTAAGTGATGTGTGTAGACAGGGATGTAAGTGATGTGTGTGGACAGGGATGTAAGTGATGTGTGTGGACCTGTGGACATGGATGTAAGTGATGTGTGTGGACAGGGATGTAAGTGATGTGTGTGGACAGGGATGTAAGTGATGTGTGGACAGGGATGTAAGTGATGTGTGTGGACATGTGGACAGGGATGTAAATGATGTGTGTGGACAGGGATGTAAGTGATGTGTGTGGACAGGGATGTAAGTGATGTGTGTGGACAGGGATGTAAGTGATGTGTGTGGACAGGGATGTAAGTGATGTGTGTGGACAGGGATGTAAGTGATGTGTGTGGACAGGGATGTAAGTGATGTGTGTGGACCTGTGGACAGGGATGTAAGTGATGTGTGGACAGGGATGTAAGTGATGTGTGTGGACATGTGGACAGGGATGTAAGTGATGTGTGTGGACAGGGATGTAAGTGATGTGTGTGGACAGGGATGTAAGTGATGTGTGTGGACAGGGATGTAAGTGATGTGTGTAGACAGGGATGTAAGTGATGTGTGTGGACAGGGATGTAAGTGATGTGTGTGGACCTGTGGACATGGATGTAAGTGATGTGTGTGGACAGGGATGTAAGTGATGTGTGTGGACAGGGATGTAAGTGATGTGTGTGGACAGGGATGTAAGTGATGTGTGTGGACAGGGATGTAAGTGATGTGTGTGGACAGGGATGTAAGTGATGTGTGTGGACAGGGATGTAAGTGATGTGTGTGGACAGGGATGTAAGTGATGTGTGTGGACAGGGATGTAAGTGATGTGTGTGGACAGGGATGTAAATGATGTGTGTGGACAGGGATGTAAGTGATGTATGTGGACAGGGATGTAAGTGATGTGTGTGGACAGGGATGTAAGTTATGTGTGTGGACAGGGATGTAAATGATGTGTGTGCGCATACATTCCACTGATGTAGGTGAGCATCTGTAGTAAAACAAAACCTGTAATTATAACAAATCCATAATGACATATCTGGCAACAAATCACCTTAGGATGACTCAACCAATTATCTGATAGATATCTGACAAATGACCTAAAGATAACTGGACAAGATATGAGCAAAAGCTAAATTGGTCAAGACATTACCTAAAGACATGTTTCCAGCAATCAGCAGAATGGCTTCCCACCTCCAGCCCAGTTGTCATGACAACATCCATGCTGAGGACATGGGCTGCATGAAGTTTGACCAGCTTAGGTTTGTGACTGCTGAGAACTGTCTTGCTCTGTGTTTTGTTGTCTGCCCCAGCCAAGGCCCTGAAGTCTTCCTTGACACATGAGGTGGCTGCCAGCTGAGAGAAAGCACTGCCACATAGCTGCTGCAGGCCTGAAACACACACACACACCTTTCACAGTGCTGCAACACACACACACCTTTCACAGAGCTGCAACACACACACACACCTTTCACAGAGCTGAAACACACACACACCTTTCACAGAGCTGCACCACACACACACCTTTCACAGAGCTGAAACACACACACACCTTTCACAGACCTGCAACACACACACACCTTTCATAGAGCTGCACCACACACACACCTTTCACAGAGCTGAAACACACACACACACCTTTCACAGAGCTGAAACACACACACACACCTTTCACAGAGCTGCAACACACACACACCTTTCACAGAGCTGCAACACACACACACCTTTCTTTGACTATATCATAACACAGCCATGACTAGAGACACAGCCATGACTAGAGTCACAGCCATGACTAGAGTCACAGCCATGACTAGAGACACAGCCATGACTAGAGACACAGCCATGACTAGAGACACAGCCATGACTAGAGACACAGCCATGACTAGAGACACAGCCATGACTAGAGACAAAGCCATGACTAGAGACACAGCCATGACTAGAGACAGTCATGACTAGAGACACAGCCATGACTAGAGACACAGCCATGACTAGAGACACAGCCATGACTAGAGACACAGCCAGACACACAGCCATGACTAGAGACACAGCCATGACTAGAGACACAGCCATGACTAGAGACACAGCCATGACTAGAGACACAGCCATGACTAGAGGCACAGCCATGACTAGAGACACAGCCATGACTAGAGACACAGCCATGACTAGAGAGACAGCCATGACTAGAGACGAAGCAAACATTCAGCTGCATGACTAGCCTGGTGGCCCACCTAAAACACAGCACAGCTTGGCTGCCCGCTGTAAACCGTTGAGACTCATACAGATGGCACTTCTAGCCTTGCGCACATCTTCCTGTGCACTGTCTGTGGCCAGCAGCAGGGCCAGGCTGTACCTGGTCCCTCCCCCACTGGATGACACCTGCTCATTCAGCATAACAGAGAGGATGTCCAATATCTGCTGCCAGCATGTGGACAGGACATTGATAGACAGCAGCTTGCCTGCTCAAATAAACAGCAAGTACGATATCAGTTTCTTCAATAGACAATCAAAATATTAAAACATCTTTTTGAAAAACAAGGTAACTAAAAAGTCTAGTGACAATTTTAGCGCAATTTCCTTATGTTATCTAAAAATAGCTCTGTCGTAGCGTAAATCAAGAGCAGGGTTAGTAAAACCATTGGTTAAAATACATGTTTTATTTACAATAGAGTTACATGACTAAAAACCATTGCGCGCCTAGCTACCGAACGTGATGTCGCAGCCACTGAACGTGATGGCGCAGCTATTGAACGTGATGACGCGTGTGGTGTGGTTGGATAAAATGCCTACTAATTCTGTCCAAATTTCAATTAATTCAAAAAAAATTTTGTGACCGAACGAAAGGATATTTTTGAAAACTTTCTTCGGCAATATTGTTCTTAATTATAGCAGGAATCGATTGGTACATGTTTCAGGTCGCTAAGTGGTCTGGTTGCCGAGATATGGGCAAAAAACTGCATTTTTTCGAGGTTTTTTGGCTTTTCCGGGAAGTCCATGAAAGAAACCCGGAATTTTTATGGCCTATGTTCATCCTCGTAACTTGCTTAACATAATTGCTTTTAGAACTAGTCCTCGATATTGCTTCGTTGAGGAGGAGATACGACTTAAAGCTGCGGACACACATTCATCCATCCATTCATCCATCCAGAAATGACGGGTTAATAAACGCAATTCTCCAGAATGGAAATTGCGCTAAAAAGTATTATGAAATGTCATCTGACTCAGGAAGTCATGTGACAATCACTAGCCAGGTCACATGTTGCAGAAAGTCACATGACCACCAAACAATGCCTCACCTGCTTCTATCCTCTGCATCCTGTTGATATCATCCCCTGCTGGTAGTTCTGGATCCACTCTAAACGATGACATCAGACGTCCTCTTTCTTCAGTTGTGCCAATCCCTTCAAGATCTGTTCACATCAGGTTAAAATTAGCACAACTCATTCATAAAATAATTTTAAAATTACCACAACTCTTTCATAACATAATTTTAAAATGAGCACAACTCATTCATAAAATAATTTTAAAATTACCACAACTCTTTCATAACATAATTTTAAAATGAGCACAACTCATTCATAAAATAATTTTAAAATTAGCATGACTTATTCATAAAATAATTTTAAAATTAGCACAACTCATTCATAAAATAATTTTAAAATTAGCACAACTCATTCATAACATAATTTTAATTGTTTTCTTGTTTTTCTATCATTAGCTGTTCATTTTATACGATTTTTCATAAGTTAAGAATTTTTTCTCGAAATGTTACGCGCTTGTAATTAAAACATTTTTTATGCAATTTAAAAAAAAAAAGTGAGTTTTAGAATCATTTTACAACTTCTGAAAATGTAACTAAAGAAAACTCATTTGAAAGCTACTCTGAAGGAGAAGACAAACCTTGCAGCAGACTAATTAGATAGTTCCCAGTATCACTGATAGTTCCATCCAACAGACTGGAAGAGACCACTTGAGCAAACACCTCCTTTAGCCACGCTGGGGGCAGGTACAGGAGAAGGCCAGAGCTGAAGATCTCGTTCACAAAGTCCTTCTGCACACACAAAAGTAAGAAAATGTTAAAGGTTGTCTTTATATGATAATACAACAGACAGTAGGTCTCATTTCTATCAGACAGTAGGTCTCACTTCCATCACAGTAAGTCTCACCTCTACAACAGTAGGTCTCACCTCTACCAGACAGTAGGTCTCACCTCTACCAGACAGTAGGTCTCACTTCTACCAGACAGTAGGTCTCACCTCTACCAGACAGTAGGTCTCACCTCTATCAGACAGTAGGTCTCACCTCTATCACAGTAGGTCTCACCTCTACCAGACAGTAGGTCTCACCTCTATCAGACAGTAGGTCTCACCTCTACCAGACAGTAGGTCTCACCTCTACCAGACAGTAGGTCTCACCTCTATCAGACAGTAGGTCTCACCTCTACCAGACAGTAGGTCTCACCTCTATCAGACAGTAGGTCTCACCTCTGTAACAGTAGGTCTCACCTCTACCAGACAGTAAGTCTCACCTCTATCAGACAGTAGGTCTCACCTCTGTAACAGTAGGTCTCACCTCTGTAACAGTAGGTCTCACCTCTACCAGACAGTAAGTCTCACCTCTATCAGACAGTAGGTCTCACCTCTACCAGACAGTAGGTCTCACCTCTATCAGACAGTAGATCTCACCTCTATCAGACAGTAGGTCTCACCTCTATCAGACAGTAGGTCTCACCTCTGTAACAGTAAGTCTCACCTCTACCAGACAGTAGGTCTCACCTCTATCAGACAGTAGGTCTCACCTCTACCAGACAGTAGGTCTCACCTCTACAAGACAGTAGGTCTCACCTCTATCAGACAGTAGGTCTCACCTCTGTAACAGTAGGTCTCACCTCTACCAGACAGTAGGTCTCACCTCTATCAGACAGTAGGTCTCACCTCTACCAGACAGTAGGTCTCACCTCTATCAGACAGTAGGTCTCACCTCTACCAGACAGTAGGTCTCACCTCTACCAGACAGTAGGTCTCACCTCTACCAGGCAGTAGGTCTCACCTCTACCAGACAGTAGGTCTCACCTCTACCAGACAGTAGGTCTCACCTCTACCAGACAGTAGGTCTCACCTCTATCAGACAGTAGGTCTCACCTCTACCAGACAGTAGGTCTCACCTCTATCAGACAGTAGGTCTCACCTCTACCAGACAGTAGGTCTCACCTCTACCAGACAGTAGGTCTCACCTCTACCAGACAGTAGGTCTCACCTCTATCAGACAGTAGGTCTCACCTCTGTAACAGTAGGTCTCACCTCTACCAGACAGTAGGTCTCACCTCTATCAGACAGTAGGTCTCACCTCTACCAGACAGTAGGTCTCACCTCTACCAGACAGTAGGTCTCACCTCTATCAGACAGTAGGTCTCACCTCTACCAGACAGTAGGTCTCACTTCTACCAGACAGTAGGTCTCACCTCTATCAGACAGTAGGTCTCACCTCTACCAGACAGTAGGTCTCACCTCTACCAGACAGTAGGTCTCACCTCTATCAGACAGTAGGTCTCACCTCTGTAACAGTAGGTCTCACCTCTACCAGACAGTAGGTCTCACCTCTACCAGACAGTAGGTCTCACCTCTATCAGACAGTAGGTCTCACCTCTACCAGACAGTAGGTCTCACCTCTACCAGACAGTAGGTCTCACCTCTATCAGACAGTAGGTCTCACCTCTACCAGACAGTAGGTCTCACTTCTACCAGACAGTAGGTCTCACCTCTATCAGACAGTAGGTCTCACCTCTACCAGACAGTAGGTCTCACCTCTACCAGACAGTAGGTCTCATTTCTACCAGACAGTAGGTCTCACCTCTACCAGACAGTAGGTCTCACTTCTACCAGACAGTAGGTCTCACCTCTATCAGACAGTAGGTCTCACCTCAGTAACAGTAGGTCTCACCTCTACCAGACAGTAGGTCTCATTTCTACCAGACAGTAGGTCTCACTTCTACCAGACAGTAGGTCTCACCTCTATCAGACAGTAGGTCTCACCTCTATCAGGCAGTAGGTCTCACCTCTATCAGACAGTAGGTCTCACCTCTGTAACAGTAGGTCTCACCTCTACCAGACAGTAGGTCTCACCTCTACCAGACAGTAGGTCTCACCTCTATCAGACAGTAGGTCTCACCTCTGTAACAGTAGGTCTCACCTCTACCAGACAGTAGGTCTCACCTCTACCAGACAGTAGGTCTCACCTCTACCAGACAGTAGGTCTCACCTCTACCAGACAGTAGGTCTCACCTCTACCAGACAGTAGGTCTCACCTCTATCAGACAGTAGGTCTCACCTCTACCAGACAGTAGGTCTCACCTCTACCAGACAGTAGGTCTCACCTCTACCAGACAGTAGGTCTCACCTCTACCAGACAGTAGGTCTCACCTCTACCAGACAGTAGGTCTCACCTCTACCAGACAGTAGGTCTCACCTCTACCAGACAGTAGGTCTCACCTCTATCAGACAGTAGGTCTCACCTCTACCAGACAGTAGGTCTCACCTCTATCAGACAGTAGGTCTCACCTCTACCAGACAGTAGGTCTCACCTCTACCAGACAGTAGGTCTCACCTCTACCAGACAGTAGGTCTCACCTCTATCAGACAGTAGGTCTCACCTCTGTAACAGTAGGTCTCACCTCTACCAGACAGTAGGTCTCACCTCTACCAGACAGTAGGTCTCACCTCTATCAGGCAGTAGGTCTCACCTCTACCAGACAGTAGGTCTCACCTCTACCAGACAGTAGGTCTCACCTCTACCAGACAGTAGGTCTCACCTCTACCAGACAGTAGGTCTCACCTCTATCAGACAGTAGGTCTCACCTCTACCAGACAGTAGGTCTCACCTCTACCAGACAGTAGGTCTCACCTCTGTAACAGTAGGTCTCACCTCTACCAGACAGTAGGTCTCACCTCTACCAGACAGTAGGTCTCACCTCTATTAGACAGTAGGTCTCACCTCTGTAACTGTCAGGTGCCTCTTGTTCTGGTAGTAGCCAGACTTGAGGAGCTGCAGGTTGAGTTTGAGAACAACAATGGCCGCCACATAGATGCCATCAGAGTTGAGGACAACAGAGGATGAGAACTTGTCTCTGTGACTGCTGTTGCCTTGGATACCTAGTAGCAACAGTACAGGTGATAGAGATTAGTGCAGGATGGGAGAGATTAGTGCAGGGTGGGAGAGATTAGTGCAGGGTGTGAGGGATTAGTGCAGGGTGGGAGAGATTAGTGCAGGGTGGGAGAGATTAGTGCAGGGTGGGAGAGATTAGTGCAGGGTGGGAGAGATTAGTGCAGGGTGGGAGAGATTAGTGCAGGGTGGGAGGGATTAGTGTAGGATGGGAGAGATTAGTGCAGGGTGGGAGAGATTAGTGCAGGGTGGGAGAGATTAGTGCAGGGTGGGAGGGATTAGTGTAGGATGGGAGAGATTAGTGCAGGGTGGGAGAGATTAGTGCAGGGTGGGAGGGATTAGTGCAGGGTGGGAGAAATTAGTGCAGGGTGGGAGAGATTAGTGCAGGGTGGGAGAGATTAGTGCAGGGTGGGAGAGATTAGTGCAGGGTGGGAGAGATTAGTGCAGGGTGGGAGAGATTAGTGCAGGGTGGGAGGGATTAGTGTAGGATGGGAGAGATTAGTGCAGGATGGGAGAGATTAGTGCAGGGTGGGAGAGATTAGTGCAGGGTGGGAGAGATTAGTGCAGGGTGGGAGGGATTAGTGTAGGATGGTACTAACTTGAACAAAACTGTGCAGCAATGTCTTGTAATGCCTCATCCACTTCAAAAACACTGACTGAACTTTGTACTGCAGGCAGCATCTGACGCAAGAATGCAACAAACTGTTGGGCATTCTCTCTCTCATGCACTTCAAACTCAGTCATAGAGGGGGAAGTAACTGGCTTGACACCTGTGTCAGTTTGCTGGTCAAGGGAAACAACCTCTTTGTTCAAGACTGTGTCCTCAGGTTCAGATGAGGAATCTATGGGTGATAAACTTTTGGGATCAGATTGTTGAAACACAAAATATTTTAAATATAGAATATTTGAAGTATTAGATTGATCATTTATTTCTGTTGTGTCCAAAAGTCACCATTGAAACCTGTTAATCGCAGTTCAAAGAGTTTTAACAAGTTAAGTTACCTGTGAGTCAACCATTTACTTTGTCTGCTATAACCAGAACTAAGGGGAATCAAATTGTAATGAGAACAAAACAGTGTTTCTACACCAGAAAAAGGTCACAACAGTTCAAAATTAAATCCACAGATCAACTTATACACAAAATTCCACTCTTGATAATCAAGAAGGAAGACTTATTTCACAGGTTTTATAACAAACACTAACCTTCTGATTCATCAAAGTGGTCAGTGGTGAGATCACTTCCTCCATCATCATCTGGGTTAGAGGTCATACTTCTTCTAGAGTGGCTCCTTGTACCTGCACAATTGCAGTAGGTCATGGCTTCAAGTGTGTCATGGTAATAATTAGGCAATGACATCAATTGTGACATAACATCCATTATAGCATGTCGTTAATAAGGTAATGATATCAGTCATGTTATAGCATTAATTAGGTCATGACATTAATTATGTGATAATATTAATTGGGTCAAGACATACATTAGATTATGATAATTAAGTCATGATAGCAATTATGTTACAACAACAATTATGACATTCATTTACAAGCCATGATATCAATTATGTCCTAACAACAATTATGACATTCATTTACAAGCCATGATATCAATTATGTCCTAACATCAATTATGACATTCATGTACAAGCCATGATATGAATGATGACATTTGTAAACAGCTTGAGGAACTGTGCTAGGTTACCTTTGTGTGGCTTGAGCAGTGAGTCAGGGATTGCTTCTCCCTGTCTGATCCTGTCAAGGGAGGCAAGAAGTGCATCAATACAAGAGACACTGGTGTAGACAACGGCAGGGTCTTGGCAGTGGCTGCTCTGGTAGATGGACTCAATCAGCCTGCAATTTTAGAGGCTCACGTCACAATCTATACAACATTCAAGTGGTCAGCATACAACATTCAAGTGGTCAGCATACAACATTCAAGTGGTCAGTATACAGCGTTAAAGTGGTCAGTATACAACATTCAAGTGGTCAGCATATAACATTCAAGGGGTCAGCATACAACATTCAAGGGGTCAGCATACAACATTCAAGGGGTCAGCATACAACATTCAAGGGGTCAGTATACAACATTCAAGTGGTCAGCATACAACATTCAAGTGGTCAGCATACAACATTCAAGTGGTCAGTATACAACATTCAAGTGGTCAGCATACAACATTCAAGTGGTCATCATACAACATTCAAGTGGTCAGTATACAACATTCAAGTGGTCAGCATACAACATTCAAGTGGTCAGCATACAAAATTCAAGTGGTCAGTATACAACATTCAAGTGGTCAGCATACAACATTCAAGTGGTCAGCATACAACATTCAAGTGGTCAGCATACAACATTCAAGTGGTCAGCATACAAAATTCAAGTGGTCAGTATACAACATTAAAGTGGTCAGCATACAACATTCAAGTGGTCAGTATACAACATTCAAGTGGTCAGCATACAACATTCAAGTGGTCAGCATACAAAATTCAAGTGGTCACATTAAAGCATTCAATGGAATCAACCACTCTGGAATTTTACATGTTATCATCAACCAAACCAAACACTTATTATGAATTGATTTTACAGTCAACTAAACAAAATGATAATCCAGACTTGATTGAAAATAATCGATTGAGAATTGAAAACTTACATTTTGATAAGTGCCATGTTAGCATCCAGGTTCTTGTCTTTAGATGACAACACACCAGCCCCAATGAGAGAGATAACCTTGTGTGGCTCTGACATGAGCTAAAGATCACATTTCTTCATTAGCATAAACTCACATGTTGCTATGCTATAAAAATGGGAGGAACTTTCACCCTACCTCTTTGAGTACCCGCAAGGCATCATTTCTGCTCTGTGGTAAGGGAAACATCAGTATTTTATGGAACAAAGCTTCCAGTACAGCTCGCAGCTGTGGCACGCTGCCAACAAGGCAGGCCAACTCCCCTGCAATACTGTCAGAGGCAAATGTCAATAGGTCATCTATAAACTTACATCAACCTATCTTCTGTTTAATGCACGGCCTAAAACCAGGCTACCCTCCAGTCCAAAAAAAGCAAATACTGACTTGTAAATGATTTTAGCTGAGCCTTGAGTGATGTGAGGTGAGGCTGTACAGGTCCCACTCTGTTTTGTGGCTTGAGGTAGTCCAGCAACCTTCTCAGCTTTTGGTTCACCAAGTAGGCTGATCAAACTTGGGCATAGTCTCTTCCTACAAGTAAACTCTGCAGTCAGCCATACAGTACAGGCCACAATTAGAAAGGAGTTTCTACCTCCCATGATTAAAAAGAGAGTGAACCCAACTAGTTGGTAAGCACCAGAATGTTAAACCAAATAGTAAATCCAATCCTTACCACAACAATTCCTGGAAGTCTTCATTGCTTTTGATTGTGTGAGAAACCTTAGATAAGATAATATTGACGCCTTCTAGTAGCAGGGGTAGAGTTTGTTTGCCCTGAGAGCTGCTGGAAACACAAAGTATGTATGGCAATAATGTATATCAAGACTTATGTCTGCTCTAGTTAGCCCCCTTTTAGTGCCATGTGAAGCACGAATCAGCAAATGACATTGTGAAAGATAAAGTTACCTGCCTTATGCTCAGCTATACAGCATAGAGAAACATACCTGGAGACCACCTCAAGTCTGTCAGTGAGAAAGGTCAATATCAAAACAACTTCATTTGTCAGGTTCTCTCTTGACACACTCCTGACTAGATGAGAGAAATGGTCTGATAAATCCTGACTAGATGAGAGAAATGGTCTGATAAATCCTGACTAGATGAGAGAAACGGTCTGATACATACTGACTAGATGAGAGAAAAGGTCTGATAAATCCTGACTAGATGAGAGAAATGGTCTGATAAATCCTGACTAGATGAGAGAAATGGTCTGATAAATCCTGACTAGATGAGAGAAATGGTCTGATAAATCCTGACTAGATGAGAGAAATGGTCTGATAAATCCTGACTAGATAAAGGTCTGATATATCCTGACTAGTTAAAAGGTCTAATAAATCCTGACTAGACAAGAGAAAAGGATTAATAAATCCTGACTAGATAAAAGGTCTTATGACCATAGTAATTAAATGTGAGTTATTTATAACAAACATCAGTTGTAAAATGTGTCTAAAAGATGTAGATTAAATGAAAGGATAAAAGATGTGACTAAATGCACATTAAGTCCCAATGTATCAAATACTTACTGTCAGACTTAAAGTCAGCTAGTACATCATCCCCGTCTTCCACCTAAAACAAAAGTCATATTTTTTCCTCATCAAGCTGAACTACTCTGCTTCAGGTACTGTATGATTAGCATTAACTAGACATGATACCAAATAAATGGGATGTGATGAGGCCAAAGTTAATAGCCTGCTGGTGTCATGGACTAACAAATGTGTGCCATCTGCTGCAGCTAGTTAGAGATTCATTCAGTAATGTCTATGTACTTTACAGGAGATCATGGATAACTACAGATTATCATCTGGTACAGAGAAGCAACATTTCATGTACATTTGATCAAATATAAAAAAACTGCTAGATAAAAAAGCATATAAAATGAAGGCAATATAAAAAAGCCAAGCTGTTTGTACAGAATCCCAGAGCATCCCTACCACAGCTTGTTCCATCAGTCCTCCAACAAACTTGTTGATCATTGTGATGAAGGCTGCTTGCACCGCTCCCTGTACCATCACACAGTTTTGGTAGCTACCCATATACACCTGCAAGCACCAAGTTGGTAGCGTGACCAGGGTGGGGGGCAGGAAGCAGGTTGGGGACGCAGGAAGGTGTAGAGGGGGATCAAGAGGGTACCAAGCAGAGGGAACAGGTTGTAGCTGATATATTTATAGAACTTATTGTACATTGGGAAAACTGGGGAAAATTTAAATAGCTGATATATTTATAGAACTTATTGTACATTGGGAAAACTGGGGAAAATCTTAATGAACAGGGTCATAGCTGATATATTTATAGAACTTATTTTACATGGCAAAGATGGGGAAAAATACTTAGGCTCTCAACTACTTAACTAAAAATTCTAAGTGGCTAAAGTGAGCATTTTTGTGGTTATTTAAGTTCTTAAATTGTTTCATAACCAATTTTAAGGAAAAATTTGTTAATATTAAAAATCAGGTTTTCACTGACTTTGGGTGTAGGCCTAATTCTAAAGAATGAAAGAGTCATAGATAATCAAGACCTCTAGAAAAATAAGAAATCCTATTTTTTCATTTAACTTTTAAGAGCTTTCAATTAACTTTTTAAAAAAAAATTCACATTTTCTTTTTTTTTACTTTCTCGTATATACGTAGTATAGAGAAAGTATTGTAATCGTGCAAAAAAAAAAAAAAATCGAGATTTTTACAAATCTCGACGTTTTACACCTCACTGATACGGAAAAACATAATTTTGCAATCTTGTCCGTATGTCTGTGTGTGTGTGTGTCTGTGTGTCTGTCCGTGTGTAAACACGATAACTTGAGTACCGTTAGAGCTAGAATGATGAAATTTCATATTTAAGTATTTTATCAAAATCGTAGATCCGTATCAACTTTTGAGCGATTTCCGATAACCGGAAGTGGTACTTTTCCTACTTTGAATTTTCCAAAAGCCTATAACTTGAGTACTATTTCAGATAGATAAATGAAATTTCACATGTAAGTAAAAGATCTAATTCTCTACCTTCTGTTAAATTTTGAATAATTTCCGTTGACTGGAAGTTGTAATTTACGCTACTTCCGATTTCTCAAAAAACTAATGTAAATTTATTAAGTACTAATACTATTGCGCACTATTATACACACCTTTATTAGGCTTCGCTTGGTGCGCAATTGTTTTTTACTGAGATTCTATTCTATTTTTAAAAGTTTAAGTATTTAAAATGGATTAAAAATCATAACTATATCCCCAGTTACCATCCACTGTTGTTTTATATAAGAATATTCGAGAAAGTTTAGGGGAGATCACTACCGGTTTATTATATATAATCATTTAGATGTATAGTTAAAATGCCTAAGTTTATAACATTTATAACGCATTATTAATACCCAATGGTTTAAAAAACAACAGAGGTCATGAGCATACAATTTTATTTTTAACAAGAACACTTAACTTAGATTAAAGTTACCCAAAGTTTGATAAACAATCACTTTATATATTTAATAATGCCAAATTTGTAGAATCTAGTAATTGGAGAAAAATAACTGAATATATCAAGGCAAATACAAGTTAATACATATCATTTGAGACAGTCCAAATGGTATTTTTGTCTAGAATAAGAAATAAACTGTTGTCCCATAAACCAGGGTTCACCATAAGTTTGAAAAAAAAATGGCAAAATGGCAGATAAAGGAATAAAATAAACAAAATGAAAATAAGGATGCAAAACTCTGTTTTAGTATACCCACAAAATAACATCCATTTCAACGTGTTGACTGGCCTATGTGTACAACTACATTTCCACATGCTAATCTATGAAATACAAAATCCAAAAGTTATCCCACACCAAAAGAAGATGGTCAAGCTGAGAAAATATTTTTACATTGTTGTACAGAAAGAGCTGAGTCAACCAGAGATCAACGTCTGGGTCAATGTTGCAGTGAGAGCGTGAGTACAAGGCCAGAATGGACAACAAGCAGATCCTAGCATGGTCTCTGCAGCTCTTGACTGAGTGGAGAACTAGAACAGCCTGTAACCATACAACATTTCTTTCTAGATAACCTGCACTCAGCTCTGGTTACTTACAGTTGAATCAAGCAAGGAGATCAGCTGTGTTTTAATGTGTCGGCAGACATCTCGCAACTTTTTCAAAGACTCCCTTAACACGCTCATGATTATCTTTAATCCAGTCAATGCAGAAATTTCTTTACCAAATTTTCAGTTCTTGTTTTAGCTTAACCATTAATGTCCCGTAACGCCCGCTGCCGCCCGACACCGTTAATGTCCCGTAACGCCCGCTGCCGCCCGCTTACAATAAGCATAGAAAAATTAAATTTGTTTCATTAAAATTTGGCCTACAAATCCTAATTTTTAACTAAACAGGAAGTCGGATGGTTTCAGCATCCTTTTCCGGTCTTGTAATTTCAATGGCGCTTTTGAAAGATAAAAAATAATAGTTTCTTTCTATCTCGAAATTTTCGACTCATCTGTCGTATTTTTAGTAGATTTAATATTAAAAATAAAAAAAATTAATGCCTCTAAACGTATCTAGGCATGTATTTTATGAATTATATATGTTAAACATAACCAAATTGATATTTAACTGTTAAATTCGATGCATAGTTGTTAAGACAAAAATAAATAAAGTTGACTACCGAAAATGACCTGTTTTGAATTTTCTCAGACATTTTTTATTTTTATACTGTACTTTTACCGAATATAATATATTCTATTTAATACTGTTGGAAAGCCAGGTTTATTCCCAACATTAAGCAGTACTTTTTATCTTAATTTTCAATTTCATTTAGATAAAAACAAATATTTTGTGAAACTATTCACTTGATCATACAGAGTTATGCTCCTTACATTGGGCCGTCATGGGTGGAGTTTTGGTAGAATGAATGGGACATTAATGGTTAATGAATGTGATAATAACCTTTCCAATCAATAATAAATTATGGGTAGTGATGTAAATCATGACATCGACCTAGAATGTCACCAGATTTGTCTTCATCAAACCAAATTAGAAGTTTTCACTTATGTTTAGTGTTGTGGAGAGGTTATTTTCACCAGTTTGCTTTATCCATCAACACTTGTCCAAGCTAGTAGTAAGTCTTGATGCATCACAAATTAAACATAAGAAAATTTGTAATCCTTTTGATATTAATAGGTTTTGAAGACTACTTAAACACTAGTTCTATTAGATAAATAAGACATTTTTTCACATTTTAGACCTAATACAATAACATTGTCCACTGTAACTGCGCACATATGTAGAGATGGAACATCTGTTAAAATGAACCAATAGAAGATGAGGTAATTGAATGCTAACAAATGTTTAGCTACACTACACAGGGACACAGCTGTGTCAAGTCTGGGACACTACTCTTGCCATTAACAAACAGGCCAGCAACTGTTCAGCAAATTTTATTACTGATAGAGTCTGCTGAGAGATCAATCCAGTAAAAACATTCTTACCAAATGTTTGCTCCATGGATTGGAAATAGGACAACCTTTGATGTTGGAACAGATTTTCTAAATGTTTCAATTATTTTTCCCCACTTGTTATAAATAGAAAAATTTAAATAAAACTAACGTTGGAATTCAGTGGACCATCAGCTTATTGGAGGATCTCAATAGCTAGCTGAGGCCAGTGCTAAACTGACCAAAGCTAATATTGTTTGTTAAATGTTAGTGGATACACTAGTCTTGTAAGAATTAGGATAGATGTAATATTTTTCCTCATTCACTGAATGCATGCACTAGTTCAGTATGAACTAAATACACTAGTCTTGTAAGAATTTGGTTAGATATAATATTCTATCAGTGTTAAAAAGGCTGGATCAGTATGAACTATTACAAAAAGGTGTGATGGGTGAAGTTAGATTCCAATGTTGACCAGCTATGTTAGTTTTGTTTTATTAGCAAGCAAACTTTATAATACTCACTAGATGAGGTCATTGTATCAAACTGCTGTTGATAACAGTTTATAAGTTTATCATGTAAGTGATGTCTAGCAATTTTCTGTATGTTTATACGTATTTGTATGTATGTGTATGTATGTGTATGTATGAGTATGTATGTGCATGTATGTGCATGTATGTGTATGTATGTGTATGTATGTGTATGTATGTGTATGTATATGTATGTATATGTATGTATATATATATGTGTATATATGTGTATATATATGTGTGTGTGTGTTTGTTTACATATACATACACATCCATACATATGTATATGGTCATATGTTCATACACATATACACAACACACCCATCAAAAATGTAAAGATAACATCTAAGGGCAACTCAAATAGAAGGTAGAAATGTGACCAACCTGTGCTATTTTAATGATTGTTTTGGCACTGGTACACCAGGATGCAGTCACTGTCATATTTAGTAACAGCTGGTGATGGGAGAAAAGGTTACATAACATGGGATCAGTAGTCTGACAGATGATGTATCAGGCTGCTAATTAAAGGTTACACACTGAAACACGCCTGTATGAAGGGGGACTGTGTTCATCGTGTGTAAAATAAGTTCGATGGCAAATTTTAGGAACCTTTTTTGTAATCCATTAACCATCCCTGTCTAATATTTCTCTGATTGCTGCATAATCATTTACATTTTGTTGAAAGTAACCACTATATGCAAACAAACAAAATAGTGTTTAGAATTAAAAATGAGATAACAATATGACAATGAGAAATACAATACAAAAAATGATCTAGAACCTACCTTCATAATTTCTATTTGCAAATCTTCAGCCAGCGAATGAGCCACAGCTAGTACAGTCAGTACTTGTGATGGCATCCATTTGTCCTCATCACTTGTTTCCATAGAACTACGAAAACGTTCATCCTTGAACATTGTCTGAATAGTTTAAATATACAAATATGGTAACCATTTTCATGAAATTGGGACTGATATTTTGTATTTATCATGTTTAAAGAACTCCAATTTGTATTTTAAAAGTCTTAACTTGCAAGTTAAATAAAAAGCAACAATGACACTATAAAATGTATAAATATTTCTCATTTTCATCATCTGTGCCTAAACACTTAAATTAATGACTGAATATAAAAAGCATAATTTATTAATTACATAGAAAAAAAAACAAAAATAATTCTGAAATTTAAAAACACTATATATAAAATTAGGATTAGTACTGGATAATTGATTTTCTAGAAGGAGCTATTTAAATATGTTCCCTTATTTCACACTAGCATACCTGTTGCACTTTGATGTGATTTCAGAGGAAAAGAAATTTAAGGACATTTGTTGTGATAACATTCACTAGTAACCAATTTCTTTTCTGTCCTACTGCTATTATTCTTGTAACAGATGCACATTGCATCAGAAATAAAACCCAGACCTCCAGTGTATGTTAATCATCCTCTGCACTGGTGAGGTGGAATACCTTTCATCCACTGACAATTGTATGGAGTTCTGTAAACTCTTGTAGGAACCACAGGTCATACATGTGCTGTTGCCCCAGGCGCTACCCTGTTTTGGCAGAGTGTAGTAGCCAAACAAAGTGCTAATGGAGAGCCCAAGGTGCTCCTGGTCACAAGACTGCAAGGGCATGGACAACCTAGTACAGTTTGCACCCCTGGTCCCTGCACTGAATGCCCATTCAACTTATACCAGTTGCTAAGGAATTTGTGGGGAAACTTGTGTTGCCCACCACACTACCTCCAGGCAGAGTTTATATCAGGCATCTGTACAGGTAGAACCTGCTTTCACCCCTTTCCCCCCCCCCCCCCATCACAGGCCATCCCAAACACAAAAATTTGTCAGAAAAGGGAAATAACCAAGAAAATATTTTTTGCTAAATAATCTAACTTTGATTATTTAATATTCAGAAGAGTTTTGGGTCCTTGGGGGCCGAATTTGTTTTTTAATCACTAACAAAAAGACACATATTTTCAATTATATATACATACATATATATATATATATATGGATGAGAATTTTTGTCACTTCTTGAAAGTGAGCTGATCTATATACCTGAATGCCTGCCAGTGCTGTGTGGCCAAGTTTCCTAGCTCGAGATTCTAAAGCCAACTGGAGTGGCTGTAGACATATTTCTCTCAACTCCCAGGCTTCTATAACTTTTAACTTCTCTTCATCCTCCAGAATTTCTGTACAAGTACAGTTCATAATCTGTTTTATGTTGACACAATTTTCTAGAACTTAATCATTTTGTATTTGTTAAACATACAAACTTTAAAAAAAAATTTAATTGAACTGAGTGCGACAGAAGATTAATTAAAAATTACCAATAGCAACATTTGCAGTATACTTTATATTAGCAAATTTCGGAGTGATAATATCTTTTGCCAGTTGACGTAAAATATCTTCCATCTTGGATCCATAAGCCATTTTTAAGGCTTTAAAGAAGTAGTTCAAATAGTTTTCCACTAAAACTGATGTAATGATATTCTAAATCTGTCTAATGTGTTTGAAGTACTCCATCAACTGGTCCTTTTCCTTAGTTTTCTATCAACTGTTAGAATGGATTAAATTAAATTAATAATGACATTTTTTTAAATTTAAAAGACCAAAAATTCTAGACAATGTGGAGGATCAAACATAAATATAATTATAAAGTTAGTGATTTGTAATTAGTTAGCATGATCAAAACATCAATAAAGAAAAAAGACATTAGAAATTGTAACCATGTTATAATATGACATAACAAGATTAATACTATGGAAAGTGGAACAATAGAAAAGAAGCATGGACAGATTTGTCTTCAGGTGTCACTCTTTTAGAACTCAAATGTTTAAAAAATAACACAACAAAGTTACAATTAAATATGTATGTTCTTTTTTTTTAAAGCAAAAAATTATAAAAATATTCTTTATTGCCTTTGCAGATTCCAAGTGGTTTGATGGCGTTGAGATGCTTTACATGACATCCAGTCACTTCTTCTTCTTCTTCTTCGTTCTTAATTATTAGTGTTGAAGGGGATCGAGATTTATCGACCAGTGGGTTTGAACTCGAGACTTAGTTCGAAATTATCAACCATGAGCTTTTTGTCGACTCGACCACGCCTCCAACACAATTAAGCGTTACGTGTCAACTGGTTATGCGCCATTGAGGCCATTGACTCCGATTTCAGCCTGCTTTTTTTTTTTTGGATTTGCTTCCATAGCCTTTGTCCAACCAAGAACAAACTACAAGGCAGCAGTTGTTTAATTTTGGAGTTGTCTCTCCTAGAAGAGTGGCTGTCCCCAGCTAACGAGCCTCATCTGCCCGAGGGTTCGAACTCGAGACTTTTCGGTTTAGCAACCATGAGCTTTACCGACTCGACCACGCCGACCCCTATCCAGTCACTAATAATACAGAAATAATACTAAGATTATTCAAAGCGCACCCAGTCTCACATATCATGGCACAGTGTCGACTTGTGACTTTGGTATGGTATGTCGTGTGATTTTTTTTCTTAATATTTTAATCCATTCATACTAAGTCGGGCAAAAAAATAAAGTGGTTGGACAAATATGTAAAATATGGATTATATGTATAACAAAACTTGATTGCAGTCAGCATCCTAACGGCATGATTTGTAATGCCAGGTTGAGTGACCCTGACCAATTCTAGCCTATCACCAAAGAGTGCATATCCTTAAGCCTTCAGCTGCATGGGGATGGTAAATACAAGAACAAGCTGTCATAAATTCAAAGTGAAGCCATGCATTTCTGAACTGGTCTGAAAGGCAATCAGCAGAAGTCACACTGATTTGCAGTGTATTGTTTTTGTGTGAAAATCACATTTTAATGGGTTTTTTTTAAAATACAGTGATGTTGATGATGTAATGTGCACCAGTGAAATAATATTTAATTTACCCATATTTTAAATTAGAAAAAGATCATATTTTTAAAAAAAGCAACTTAAAAATATGACTGCTAAGTTAACAAGTTTGGTTGTATCTGATGAAAAGAATGCTAAACTATTAGGCCTAAGTATTAAAAAGTATTAAGTAATCAGTCACCTTTCTGATCATGATTGTGATAAGCTTCAGTAAGTTCAGTCAATAAAATGGTAAAATGACAGATTACCAATAATAATAATACTAACTTAAATAATGAGTAGATTCTAGATCTAGAATCTAAATAGTTCTCACTAGACTCCTAGAGTGTGACTAGAAGAGTCTCTGGTAGATTAACTAACTAGATCTAGAATTCTAGATCTACTAAGCAGATGATAAGACGATAAAAGAACACAAGAACTTAGAAGAGTTAGGAAGAAGAAGCAAGCTAGATCTAGAATCTAGATAGATCTAGATCAGAGTTCAGAATGCTTCTACACTCTACTGTAGTCTCACAGTGACTTCTACTACTAGATTCTAGATCTATAAACAGTTACGTTATAGATCTAGATCTAGTTTTGGCTAAAGATAAATATATATTTTAGTCTAAAGATTTTTGGTTCGTGGATTTTAGCAGTCCGTTTTGGTGTGCCATATTGCAACGCAAACCGGAAGTTTTGAATCGTCAAGAAACATTACTACCAAATGTATTTCGTCTGCTAGACCTAATCTAGATTTCTAAGACTACTCTAGAATCTAGATCTAGACTAGATCTAACTGGCCTTCTTACTTCTAGATTTCTAAGTAGTTAAATTTTAAAGCAAAGGCCAATATTAATTTTACTGGCCTAAAATTCAATAAATTAAAGCCTATACTTATACTATAGATAAGTATTAGTAATAAATCTATGTCAAACTAAACTAAACCGACTAAGTCTCTGAACTAAAACTAAAAGCCTCTAAAAGTCTAAGTTTAAGTAAAGTAGGACTAGGCCTAAAAATAAACAGAAGTAGAATCTAGATTTCTAGATCTAAAACAGACGTAAAATAATTGGTTAAAATGATGCAACTATTTTGTTTCCAACATTAGACTTGTGTAATCTGTTCATGGTCTGATTAAACCATTATTAATATGTAATATGGTAGTGCATAGAGAGTTAAATGTGTGAACTGGATATTGTTCCGCAATGATGAGCAGAAACTCAGCAAAAATGTTGTCATGGGCAAATCGGCTTCGAAATTCGATTTCCCGAAGGTAAGATGGAAACAACGCACGAGTAGTACCAAACTGTCTCTTAAGCTCCCTCTTAGCTCGCATCCAGAAGTTTTCAATATTCTGAGTATGAATCTCGCCATCGTGTGGATGGACAAAGTTGCGGTCATGAATTACGACTCCATGCTCGTAAATACCATGGGCTAGTTGTGGAATGTTTCTATACGCTGCCCAACCTTCAGACATGATACGGGTCCCAGGAAGAATGTGACGAAGTATTTCTGCTTCAAGGGTTGCTGCATCGCGATTTGGTACTTCTACCAGAAAACAACATCCCGATCCTCGCTCGATTCCACCGAATACCCAATGTCCTTCACGCCATTGTCTGCGATTGTATTTACGGTGGAAATACTTGGTTTCGTCAATCTCAACAATCACGGAATCGCCGTTAGCATCGAAGCCCCCGATTTGAGTAGCGTGTCGATCTCTAGATATACACAAATGTCTTCCCTACAGAAATTGAACCAGTCCACAATGGTATTGGGGCGTAGGATGTCAGCCTCTCTCATTGTTAAAGCTTGCGGGAAATCCTGGCTGAAATAGTACATTGAGACGGCTATTTTTTGCAGGGGTAAATGACTCCTTGCAAAAAAAAAAAACGATCCGTCTCGCACAATCGATTTCTTATTGCATAAATCACAGGACCATCGCTTTCTATCAATTCCTTGGTTATAAACTTGCAGCTTGCACTGTACGTTGCAGACTGGGCAAATCATCTGGTTCTTGACCAGCTTCCGATGAGCAAGCCAAACGAGTGCAGCCTTTGGGGTTCGGAGGGGCTCTGACAGCGTAATCAGCCGCCAAGACTCAGCGCGGATAGCAACATCATTTAATACATCACCCTCTGGAATTATTGTTCGTCCATCAACTCGTGGTCTCCCTGCATGGTGAAATAACAACGGATGTCGTATGTTTACCCGCGAAAAACATCAGATATCCGAGTTATTTTTGTACCAGCCAATGAAAATATGAGGCTAAATCATGTGACCAGCTAGCACATCACTACACACAACAAACATATTGGCCACTGTAGATAATCCGACAGTGACAGAAAAAGCAAATTAAGGGGCGAAAACAAGAGTTATCTCGAGAAGAAAGAGTGAGAAGTCAGGTTATTGGGCCATCCTGTAGCTGCAGGTTGTTACAATGTTCAAACCATTCGTTCAGCTTTCGACCCATACTAGTTGTTTTGACTTACTATCGGTCATTTCAACCTTATTTATCATTCACGATCACACTAAATCATACCTACCTCGTCCACATGTGTCAGCTCTAGAGTTGCAATAACTTTAATTTGTTTACCCCGGGCCTCATCATCATCAACTTCCTCTCTCAAGCCTTATTGTTGTCGTTGGTGCACCACAGCAGACATTATAATTCTCCCATTGCCGTCCTCTGCCACTCTGATTAGTTCCAATCCCTGATGTCATCCATCCAGTGTTGCCTACCCAGCCCTGAACACCTTCAGCTCAAGGGTTGACCCATTGTGCTTCCAGCTTTTATTAGCTGCCTATTTTTCCAGTGGTCGGTGTTTACCCCTCCCCACCATTTATCATTACAAAAACAAAAACACCCATTAAATAATGAGATTTCAAGTTCGGGTCCATGTAAAAAAAAATCTAGATCGACCCTTAGTTCGTAGGAGAATTAGAATCTATCAGTTAGGGGTCGTCCATAAATGACGTCACACTCGAAGGGGGAGGGGGGAGGTAAAAATCGACAAAAAAGCGTGACGTCATTAATGAATGACCCCTTACCTATCGTCTTACCTATACTGGGTCTTAATACCGCCGTTTCACATCCCCCCCCCCCCCCACTTAGAAACAACAGCCTCACTAAGTTCACGGCGCGCGTAACGTCATTTACCGCTAGTTAATTTTAAAGAACGAGACCGTAATTAAAAAAAAAAAGTACTACGCTGTCGGGACTTTAGCGACGTTTTGCCTGGCGAATCGATCTCAATAAAGTGTAAATCGATACATTATAATGGTGTTAAATTAAATATGGTGGCATCAGAGGCGTAGCGAGGGGGGGGGGGGTGCGGACCGCACCGGGTGACACCATTTATGGGGGTGACACCAAGGCAAAAAATAGCAAAATATATAATATATAGAGATATATAGAGAAAAATTTGAGGGGGGGGGGGTGCAAATTGAAAATTTGTCCCCGGGTAGGGTCGCTACGCCTCGGGGGGGGGGGGGGTGACACCATTAAGTGCCGCACCGGGTGACACCCGACCTCGCTACGCTACTGGGTGGCATGTAGTTCGCCCGACAGACCCCCCCCCCCCCCCTCCAGTAGCATTTGGGTATTTGGTATCGACATTTTTCCCACGTTTTCTTTAACTTGCTTTCTCTGTGTGTTTGTCTTTCCAATCCAATCTTGCGATCGAAATTTCTGGCACTTCCCAGTTAGCTAGCGCGCTGAAATTTTCAGGGAAGCTTTGTTTTGGATGACAATTGAATATTCTATTGTTTTTATTACTAAATTAATCCATGGAAACATTTTATTGATCATTTTAGACCGCTATATAATTGTACCAAAAAACGTGGGGAAAAAGGGACATTACCCAGTAACTGTAATTTGATGAAAACAAGGTTCGGCACTCCCCCTCTTTTTGCTTACTGAGTAGTTGTCACGCGGTGTTTGTGTACAAACAACCATAACCTAACAACTGGTGGCCAGTATGGGGGAGACTATATGGTCGAGTGGTTGGGCACACGATTGCTATCCCACTCGACACGGGTTCAAATCTATGTGTTCTAGTCAGTAACGTATTCACACAACGTGTTTTTTACGAGTTGTCTTTTTACGAGTTGTCTTTTTACGAGTTGTCTTCGTTTACCCAAAAAAAAAAGTGAAAAGATAAAATCGATAGCAAGATTTTAATGCAAACAAACAGACAAAGACTAAAAAGTAGAAAATAATAATCATTAAAAAAGTTTTTAAAAAACCACGTTTTCTGATTGAACTAAAAAGTAGAAAATAAATACTATACATCACAATAATGCAAGCGATCACTCTACTATAAGCGATCAAAAACGTGGGGCGCCGTGATTTTCTTACAGTTTCTTATACTGTTGACTCTCTATAAGCTCCCTAATAAAAGTCAATAGTATTATCTAATCAATAGTAATATAACTTTTACTTCGGCGCCCCACGTTTTTGATAGCTTATAGTAGAGTGATCGCTTGCATTATTGTGATGTATAGTATTTATTTTCTACTTTTTAGTTCAATCAGAAAACGTGGGTTTTTTAAAACTTTTTTAATGATTATTATTGACTGGTAAAAGTATATATTTTCTACACAAAATCCATTTCGTTCGGGGGGGGGGGGGGGGGGCAGAGCTCGCCTGAAGAAATGTCTAGTTGAAACTCTGATGGGGATCTACCATAAACGACAACACACACTTAACGGGTGTAGTACGTGGCTTTTGAGACGATGTTTTACTAGGGAAGGGTGTGTAAGAAATATGAAATGGTATGAAGTGAATAGAGGTCATAAAACTGGACGCCATTAACGACTGAATCATATAAAATGGAAATAGCAAACAAACAATAAATTATAAGCTCCAACTATTATTTAAATAAACATTTACATTAGTCATTAGATCTAGTAGTAGCTCTACACAAAAAAAAAACCTAGCTTTCTATAAAAGTTACATCTCACAATAATTCTAGAACTCATGATTATTGTCAGTCAATAGAATTTTTATAAGGTGGAATTTTTAAGGAAAAACCCCACTCCAGCCTATGTATATGAAAACAACTACATTGCTACTCCAGCCGAATTGATTACGCTAAAACTAAAACGATAGATTACCTTTTTTTTGCTTTACACTTTATTCTAAACTCCAGGTTTAAAAAAATTTAATTCATGTTTTGTTTACCATTTCTTTGTATTAAATTATGTTAATTTTAATCAACTGATTAACAACATTCTGACCACTGTGGTAGTAGGAAGGGTTTTTAAAGTAATTCAATTTTGCTTTGAGCTATTACTTTAAATACATTTTTTTTTCAAACACAATCAACAGTTAGTTTAGTAGATGATCTTTATTTCATGCTTGCACATCTCATAATATCTTCAAAAATGGGATTTTGATATCAATTGTTGGTAAATAAAAACATAAATTACAAGTGTGGACACTAAAACAAGAATTACAAACTGGATACATAAACATTTAATCCAAGTAAGTGCTGACTATTGCAAGTAGTGAAACATCAACACACAATCTTCTGTTCCACAAACCCACACAACATTCTAACATGCATACAACATTCTATCACATACCCAACATTCTGACATATACATACAACATTATCATCTACACACATACAACTACCTTCAAATCCACACACCTACAATAAAATTCTAACATTGCTTTTACAAACATTTTGTGAACTGCTTAAATTAGACAAGCGCTTACAGTTATGAAATGTAAATTATATAATAAAATTATACACAATAAAACCCTAAATAATAAAGATTAATTTTCGTTTTTTTTTTTGTAAATTGCCTATGCACAGCATTTAAAAACTTGCCCCTATGTATTTTCATATAAATCAAACGTAACTGGCATTAACTGCGTTGCACTACAAAAACTGAATGTCTTATTTTGACATTATTATAATATCATATCACATACATCTTGTCTTCAAGTCAAAATTTTAAAATCAGACATAACCAATTCAAAAGACAAGTAATAAACAAATGTCAAGTAATTGACACAAATTTTACTGGCAGTCTTATTGCTAGGTGAATATGAATATTTAATGAATGCCAAGATGTAACAGGACAGTGGAAGTTCATGAAAGTACATGATCAACACCACACTCCTCACACTCTCTGCTGAGGTCACATGTAATCAAGGTACATTCAACACAAGTTCTCACGTTTTATTACATTCTATCAAAGAAAACATGGAAGAGAACGGTTGAGGAAGAGGCAAAAACAGCTGGGCTCTCATGGGCACAGATCAGAGGAGCAGCCCAAAACCAAGTCCGCTGGAGATGTGTGGTTGCAGCCCTTTGCTCCCCAGGGGCCATAAAGGAGTGATGATGATGATGATCAGGTAATAAATTTGATAGACATTCTTTTTTAAAGATTGTCTAGACATAATAAAAGCCAGAGAGAAAACATATTCCTATAAGAAAATGTATCAGTGGCGATCATATTCTGTAGTGTATGGCACCATAGGGAGTTTGTACATCATCATCCAGAATCCAACAGACAGGCAGGACAGTGCCAATATCCAAGCTGTGTAAGTGGTGGATAACAAGATGAGTAGAAAGCTGTATGGAGTTAAAAACACAACCACAGGCTCCATGGCTACTTGACCTTTCCACAAAATATACCAGGCCACATAAAAAACTGGCGCTATCAGAAGAACCAGCACAATCTCTACCATGCCTCCAAATATAATGTATGCAGAATCAAATGACCAAAGTCTGGATCTCATCAGTGTTGTGATGACTAGAATTGCGATGGATGTCATGATGGTCGGTGTGGCCTGTTTGTCCCCACTTAGCCGAGGCAAAAACTTCTCATCTTGATGTAGGCAGCCTAGGATGACCGTAGATGCACAGCACTAGAGAGAAAATTCAGCTGTTAGTTGTTACATTCATGGTCAATGTAGACTTATCAAACCCTATTTTCAACCCTAATTCAGTTATTGAGCTTGATGGTCAAGATATCAAGCCCAAATTCTAGTTGGACATACCCAGAGATCATGCAGGGTTGAATCAGCAGGTCCCTGTGTACAAGCTACCAGAAATGATACCACAGTGATGATGTTTGCTAACAATGGAAGAGTCATTTTACTGCTCTCATTCAGTGCTGTGGTGGGAAGCTTGTCAGGACCCTGTGGAAATATTAAAACACCATTTAGATTTAAAATTTGCTCTGTCAGATAAACAACATTCATTTATAACTTACTCTATTAGATAGTACATGTATGTGGAACTAATTTGACTTTTATTGGCAATTTTCTCTTGTAAGAAATATTTTGCAAATGAAAACTTTTTCTTAGGGTTCATTACCTTGGTAGTCTGCACAAGTTTTAGTGTCACAGCAATGACAAGACTAGTGGCAAGAAAAGCTTTCCAAGATGGCAGTTCAAAGACTGACATGGGTGGTTGCACAGATGTTGTGTACAAGAAAAGCTGGTCCACCACAAGCAGACCCACAGAGCAGGAGAGAGCAGCAACAATACTGGAAGTGTCAAATGGTACAATTGTAAGGAGACATTGTTCTGTATTTATGGGATGGCATGTACAAGTAGGTAGCAACATGCATGGAGTATTGAGTAGAAATAGATGGCTATGTTATATGATGCAAACAACAACAGCAAAGGGGAATCTTAATGGTATATGATACTAATAGGTAGATATTGCATGTGATTCCTTCATTTCTCAGATGGCTAGATCTACAAGCTATGTATTTAGCATACATTTATTATTGGAGGCTTTTAACAATGTGTAATAGATGTCCAAATTAAGTAAGCAGGTTGCATAAGGCCAAGGGAGCTAACCTATACTACAAACTAGGCATGGGTAATTATAATTTATATAGGCCTATATATTTTTAATGTTATACTTGTTTGAGAAAAATATTTTATAAAATAGTTATTGGTCAAAACGCTATGTGCTTTACAACATGTTGAACGATATTAGAGACAAAGCAAAGAAATAATTAAATTGCTAAAAATCCGACACATTTAAAATAACATAGACTACCAATACCTATTATAAAAACCAAGTTATATACATTATTAGTAAACAACAATATAACACCATATTAAATGCACACACTGATTAAGAGACTTAAATTATTCTGTTTTTTTTAAAAAGTAAATTATATTACCTTTGGCCAAAAAAATTGTATACATTTCATAGCGTACATCTTGATAAGTAGATTTATAGATCTAAATCAAATTTTTATTAATAGTTCATTTCATTAGATGACGGCATTAGTTTTGTGTACTTTCCGTAGTTTTAACATGTGACATCATTGTTTTAGCATTCTTGTCAAAACAATAAACACTTTTCCGGTTGCATAATTAAAAATATGTTTCTACATACAAATATGCATTTATTTTTATTTTCCTTCTTTTATTTAAAACATCCATCAGTCGGTATCATATAGTTCTCCATACATCGCTGAACATACTGATCATATAGCCTCAAAAATGCTGCTGACAGAGAGAGAGAGAGAGGTGCCCACATAGGCTTTTATATATTAGGATACCAAAGGGAACTAACCTATACTTCATGATCCTGTCAGAGGCATAACTCATCTCAGTGATGAAGATACAAACAAATATTAATATAAGGAGAGCCCCACAATCAATCACACATAGCAATGTGTGATACACATAGATCTGAGACCAAAGCTGAAAGAAGAATCAAATAAGCATGACATTTTACATTTCTAGAAAGGTTTTTTTAATTTTTACAGTACATTAACTCGTTAAGCCCGTAATTATTTTCAGTACCCCTCGGCTAAATGACCCATATCTTTTTACCCATTGATTTAAATCCCGCACATTATTGATATAAACAATTGAATGCCCTACACACTGATATAAATTTTAAGTAATTATTTATTGAAGAAAGATAATTACTTAGATTTAAAGAAGAAAAAATAAAGAGTTGATTTTTTTTGGGCAAAAAATACGCTTCTGCCAAGAAAATTAATGATTAGAATTACTTTTTATCAGTTCTTATTCATAGATAACAAAAGTACGTCCATTTTAGTTTTAGTATAAATACTTTAATTTTGGTTGTTTTTATTTTTGGTTAATAGTATAATGCGGCGACGTAATCGTTTAGACGTGGCCGCTGAACGACATTCCGCAGTGTTAAAAAAGGCCGTTTAGCTAATGGTTTTACACAAAAAAATTCTTTAAAATACAAAATCAACCTAAAGAGAAAACTACAAGAAGTATATACAATGAAAAATAGCCTCTCTAGCGTTAACATGACCTAGATTTACGATTTAAAACTTGGATTTTGAAAAACAACTAATTAAATAGAGAAAATTTTATCGGATGCTGGGAGCGTCGTTACGGTCTTCAAAACACCTAATATTTAGCCATAACCCCTTGTTAGACAATGCTGAGAGGTGTAACTTCAAATTAAAAACACTCAATAATTATATCTGATTCCAGATGTAATTTACTTACATAAATACACACTCTGATACCAGGGCAGACAGAAAAAAGAAAAGCAGCCAGTACAACAGACGTGGGGGACAGGTTGATTCTCAATGATAATATAGCAAACAGGGAAAAGAAGTTGATGATCTCAGCCCATTGAAACAGTGAGTAGCTGAAAAAGTAAGTCAAAACATGTCACATCTTTGTTATACTATACATGAACTTAAAACTGTATATTTATTGTACAAGTGTAGTGGTATGTATTTAAAAGTACAAAAGCTATATTCCAGCTAAAAGTGCTTTGTTCTAGAGTAGCACACTTACAAACTGAATGAGAGCTGTGGGTGGACTATCATGATGCAGACTCCCATGATGCCCAGGCCCAGGGCAACTTTGAGAATTTGGATTGAATGAACTGAAAATATTGCTTGACTGTACAGGAGAACCAGCCCACCCCCTAACAGACACCATAGGCCTGAGTGGAAAGAAAAAGAAAACAAATCTATAATTTTCTATTCATAAAAGCTTATTTTGGGGCAAAAACAAAGCTAACTTTTAAATTCAAATGTGTCTTTTATTTTACTATTTTACTACTGTGTTTAAATAACATTACATGTACACATTCAGTATAACCAGCATATTTGTCTCAACAAAACTATGTATATTAAAGGTCAACATATACTTGTAAAAAATCAGATATTGTTGCCTTGAAAGTGTCACAGATGAACACAAGGGGAGAGAGAAGTGCGTGCATGGGCTTTTATATAATAGGGTTGTTAGTTATTGTAAGTAATGCCTTAAATTTGTTAAGCTAAATAGTTTGATTTGTTTAAAATTAAACGTTCTAGGGCTAAAAAGTAAAACAATCATAGTTAGATAAAAAGAGATAAATAAGTTAATAAGTTGTGCTCTTTGTTGTTAAGGTTTTTGGAGTCTATATAAATTTAGACAAGTGTTTATAACCGAACAGAGCTTGAATAGCAAGACTGTAAGAACCATTGTATTGGTTTGATTTTGGCCAAGTCATAAATGAAGTAATTTAGGACAAAGGTCTAATTATAACTACAGTTAATGACTAGTTTTTAAAATTACTACTATTCCTTTATACTGGTTACCTAATTAAAAATGAAGAGAAAAACAACTAACCTACAACATTTGTGAAGGATGTTGAACCTTGAAACAACAGGATAGACAATGGCAGCAAGAAATGGTGACTGTTCACAGCAAGGGCAGCAAGGAGTAAAAACATTTCTTTAGTCACCTACAAAAAACATCAACATTCATTCATTAGCTCATTTAAAAAAATAAGCTGCAACAATAAGTTAATTTATTAAGCTAGTTTCCTTTATTATAACACAATTCAATCATAATTTATTTGAGTGAAAACTTTCAACAGTAGCCAAAATATTCTGTTGAATCTACCTGCAGCCCAGACTTCTTCCCCAACTTTCTACACCCACCAAAATATTGTGTTGAATCTACCTGCAGCCCAGACTTCTCCCCCAACTTTCTACACCCACCAAAATATTCTGTTGAATCTACCTGCAGCCCAGACTTCTTCCCCAACTTTCTACACCCACCAAAATATTCTGTTGAATCTACCTGCAGCCCAGACTTCTTCCCCAACTTTCTACACCCACCAAAATATTCTGTTGAATCTACCTGCAGCCCAGACTTCTCCCCCAACTTTCTACACCCACCAAAATATTCTGTTGAATCTACCTGCAGCCCAGACTTCTTCCCCAACTTTCTACACCCACCAAAATATTCTGTTGAATCTACCTGCAGCCCAGACTTCTCCCCCAACTTTCTACACCCACCAAAATATTCTGTTGAATCTACCTGCAGCCCAGACTTCTTCCCCAACTTTCTACACCCACCAAAATATTCTGTTGAATCTACCTGCAGCCCAGACTTCTTCCCCAACTTTCTACACCCACCAAAATATTCTGTTGAATCTACCTGCAGCCCAGACTTCTTCCCCAACTTTCTACACCCACCAAAATATTCTGTTGAATCTACCTGCAGCCCAGACTTCTCCCCCAATGATCCATAAACAAAAACGGAGAGAAGTGCATAGGTCATGAATCCTAGAGCAGCCATCTCAAGAAAAGTGATGTCCCTGCTGTCCCCATCCAGGACCAAGGAGGACACACTGGCCAGTGACTTGGCTGAGTGGACAGCAGACGCTATGATAGCGGATTGCTTGACAATTTTATCTGAGACTTGCAGGCGATGTACGGTGTAGCAGGCAGTGATGGCTGTCATCTGGAGCTTGGTGGTTGAGTAGAAGTTGGAGTTGTGTAAGGAAACTTCACACACGGTCAGGACTGGGCAAATTATAAACCACAATCAAAATTATTATTACAAACATAAATACTATACCAGCTTAAGTTGATTATTAGAAAACTATTATTTAGCATACTACAAGATTATTGAATGTACAGAAAGTAAGCATACCAGCAGCTTGTAAAATTAACAAGGCTCCCAACATTTCTTTAGCATTGATTGATGCCATCCACAAGCACAGAAGGCAGAGCAAAAAATTGACACATATCATAAAGTAGAAGGAATTGAGAGGGAATATGCCCATGAAATATTGTCTTTTAATTAAGGATATAACAAAAGGGCATTGAAATGGTTTTTTTAAAACCTGAATGAAATTCAATATGATCATTGTTCACAGACTTATACTAGAAAGTGAGTTATTTAAGTAAAATAACTAATAAATAACAATTTAGTGCATGGTAAGCCAATCATTGTAAGGATACTGCAAATTGTGAGGCATTCTTTGAATCCACAAAATAAAGAGAGCTATCAAACTAGTAACCAGCACTACAGCCAGCACCTAAATGATACAAAAAATATTGAGATTTTAAAAAAAAATCTGATAACATTTTAAAAAGGTTATGTGTGCATGGCACTTGTGCATCAATTTTGTGCTAAGTTTGCTCAAGAGATCTACTCACTGCCATGACAACCCTTCTCTTCTTGAAAGCCAGGACCACACCAAGAGCTGCAAAGATTGCAATGGCCACAGGCAAGAGGGGTAAAAAATGTGAGTCCAATCCATAGGCATGGAGCACAGGGTAGGACAAGGCTGTACACAGGAAGCCACTTCCCCACCTTACATAGATAGCTGTCATATACGGAAGGCCTGGGGAAACAATTGTCTTTTTTTTTTACAGTCCATCAAATATATATATACCATTCTTTTCCCCCTATACTTTCTAGAAAGCTAAAATTCAAATAATTATTTCAAAAACCCCTAAAAACATTAGGGGCATTTAAAATTGTGCACACCAAAACATGAGTCATTTAGTTTAGAAAACCTACCTAGAACTTCAAATATTTGTCTAATGCTAAGCAAAGTTGACAAGAACAGGGTCAGTGATAATATAAACAAAAGGTGAACCTGTAAATATAAAAATATTTCCTGCTTTAATGGAACAATTGAAAACTTAACTCATACAAATTCTTAGGAAATAATACATGATCAAAAATATTTGACATTTTTACTGATGCTCACCAAATTACGCTTAAATCCATATCTACAAAATCAAACTTACAAAAAATAAGGAAGAAATACTTGGGGCATCTGAAGGCAGCAGAGAGAGCAGTACATGCAGCAGGGGACCAAGTAAAACAAATGTAGCCACAGTGGCAGCCACCAGCCAACTCTGTACAACATCCAGGCTTTCATCTGGGGAACTCTGGGATTTGAAAGATGACAGGGTGGGAACCAGGTACAGCTGGAGAAGGACAAACCTGAAAATATGAGAGACAAGTACTAGAGACATTCAAAGATTGCCATGTCTAGTTGGAGAAGGACAAACCTGAAAATATGAGAGACAAGTACTAGAGACATTCAAAGATTGCCATGTCTAGTTGGAGAAGGACAAACCTGAAAATATGAGAGACAAGTACTAGAGACATTCAAAGATTGCCATGTCTAGTTGGAGGACAAACCTGAAAATATGAGAGACAAGTACTAGAGACATTCAAAGATTGCCATGTCTAGTCAGAGATGGACAAACCTGAAAATATGAGAGACAAGTACTAGAGACATTCAAAGATTGTCATGTCTAGTTGGAGAAGGATAAACCTTAAATATGAGAGACAAGTACTAGAGACATTCAAAGATTGCCATGTCTAGTTGGAGGACAAACCTGAAAATATGATGGGACAAGTACTAGAGACATTCAAAGATTGCCATGTCTAGTTGGGAAAGGACAAACCTGAAAATATGAGAGACAAGTACTAGAGACATTCAAAGATTGCCATGTCTAGTTGGAGGACAAACCTGAAAATATGAGAGACAAGTACTAGAGACATTCAAAGATTGCCATGTCTAGTCAGAGATGGACAAACCTGAAAATATGAGAGACAAGTACTAGAGACATTCAAAGATTGCCATGTCTAGTTGGAGGACAAACCTGAAAATATGAGAGACAAGTACTAGAGACATTCAAAGATTGTCATGTCTAGTTGGAGAAGGATAAACCTGAAAATATGAGAGACAAGTACTAGAGACATTCAAAGATTGCCATGTCTAGTTGGAGGACAAACCTGAAAATATGAGAGACAAGTACTAGAGACATTCAAAGATTGCCATGTCTAGTCAGAGATGGACAAACCTGAAAATATGAGAGACAAGTACTAGAGACATTCAAAGATTGCCATGTCTAGTTGGAGGACAAACCTGAAAATATGAGAGACAAGTACTAGAGACATTCAAAGATTGCCATGTCTAGTTGGAGAAGGATAAACCTTAAATATGAGAGACAAGTACTAGAGACATTCAAAGATTGCCATGTCTAGTTGGAGGAAAAACCTGAAAATATGATAGGACAAGTACTAGAGACATTCAAAGATTGCCATGTCTAGTCAGAGATGGACAAACCTGAAAATATGAGAGACAAGTACTAGAGACATTCAAAGATTGCCATGTCTAGTTGGAGGACAAACCTGAAAATATGAGAGACAATACCTAGACACATTCAAATATTTTCAGTCTTAACCCAGCAAGGCATTTATATAAGACCTGCATGTGTATGGTACTGTTCCAACATTACATTTAATTGAATCAAGAAATTTGTAAACTTATTTACAGACTTACCAAATACAAGAAAATACAGTTGGTATAACAGATAAAGAAATCACAGTGCCCAGTGTCCAGCATACCAGCCCTGTGCAAACTAAGGGATAAACCGTGAACAAGAACTGCTCAATTATCTGCAAAAAAAAAAATGTCCATAAAATAATTAATAGAACAAGACATGAAGGAATACTTCTGAAATTAATCCAACTCACAGTTGCTAATGATGGCTCCTCCATTCTGAAAGCTTTGAACTGCAGTAAAACCCATCCAGCAGTAAGGATCACACAAAGATTCACCAGAGCAATTAAAACAAAATGCCACCCTGACAACCTGAAATACCAAGTCCTCAGTTACGTTTGGGCTTCTTAATTGACAGAATTAATAGCACAATTTTGATAAAAAAATACAATAAATATAGACAATTTATCTATTTTTATTTCATACCATCAAAGTTAAAAATAAAAAAACAGACATACCACAAAAGGGGGATAACTGAAGCAAGTATATAAGTATGACTAGGTATAAAGATGATCACAAAAGTGATGACACATCTGTGAAAAAATTAAGCAAGTCTCTCATTAAAGTAATCTATATATATAAAAAGCAATGTATGTATGTTTGTTTGTTTGTCTGTCTTTTATGCATTACTACACCTTTCATCCGATCGCTATGAAACTTTTGGAAGTTGTTGAGAATACTCATGGGGAGGTTTCTGCGGAAAAAAATTCCAATTCGCAGGGCTGGCGGATTTTTTTCCCTCCACATACGGTATATAAAAATAAAAGTTGATTGCGGTTTGACACTGTTTATCTGATTGCCATCAAACTTTGGGGAGTTGATAAGAATACTTTAGAGAAGGTTTTTGGGGCGAAAAATTTAATTTCGTACAGGCGGCCAGGCAGGATACGATTTGGCACCCAATCTTTACCGTGAGTGCTATGGTGCCTACATTTGTTTTAAACAGTGTGATAGACTATGAATAAGATGGGGCATTTAGTCGTTAACTAAATTGAATCAGACGCGTTCGCAGGCGCCCCACAAGTTTTAATTTGGTGCCCTGGGCAGAGTATTATTTGTCCCGAGCTATCCTGGGATTTTTTTTAACACCGTGGCAACGCTCTGGGACGGGCACGCTAGTGATCTATAAATGTATGTGTCACATTTTGAGAACTAATGAATACAATAATTTCATGAACAATTATTTTGAAACAACAAAACAACAACTTTACCGTCTGCTATCTCCAAGCTGTGACATTATAGCAAGTAAAGCAGTTCCAATGGCAGCTATGAGAACAAGACTGAAACAAAAAATATAATAAACAGTACATTTAGTCAATTTAGTAAAGCAGTTCCAATGGCAGCTATGAGAACAAGACTGAAACAAAACATATAATAAACAGTACATTTAGTACATTTAGTAAAGCAGTTCCAATGGCAGCTATGAGAACAAGACTGAAACAAAAAATATAATAAACAGTACATTTAGTCAATTTAGTAAAGCAGTTCCAATGGCAGCTATGAGAACAAGACTGAAAGTAACAAAACCAAAGGTCATACTTAACAATGGCACAAAAAGCAACTTATATTTAGTAGTGTATGAACTCACGTTTCTCCCCCGAGTGCAAGAACCAGCAATAATGCTGGCAAGCTTGTGACAAATACACGCTTGTTGTAGCGAAATCCACCAGGGTCCACCAAGTTCTTAGACTTAACATCCTCTCTGTCAGCTTTGGCCCAGTCTGGGTCAGGGAGGAACTGGTCATAAAGAAATGGATCATCCATTGGATCTTCAGAGTCATCAGATGAGCAGGACCCATTTTGGGCATTAGATCTGTGATGGAGAGAGTTCTCTGCATCTTCCAGAAATGTTTCCATCATTGTGCTAAAAGAGTTGGCTTTCTCTACTGCTTGCACAGCTTCAGAGGTGAGAACATTGCAAGTCAGCAGAGTCTGAAAATAGAGCTAAAGAATTAATGTTTACACTAAGAAATCCAAGACACAGTCTGATCAAACCAATTTGCAAAGTTTTGATTATTTCAGTTAATTTTTTGATGACTTTTTATATTCTAGACACATTGAACGGTGATCAGTATAAAATACTGAGTAATTTGAGTAATGAATCTTTAGCCAATGGAAGTTTACAAGACTAGGCTAAGTTAAATACCATAAATTATGTTACACAGCCATAGTGGGGTTATTTGATTAAGAAATTATGAAAGACAGCTGGTTATAGGGCTGATCCCACTAGATCTAGATTTTTCTAGATTATAGTTTACTCTTAAGTTAAGTAATATTCTATGCACAGTCAAATTTACATGCCCCAAACATACAACAAAATTAGATCTTATCTAGTTCTAGTTAGGGTACTAACTAGATCAACGTTTAAATTTAGATCTAAACTTGTAGATCTAATTCTAATATTTTATTTGCATGGTAAATACTGTTTTGCTAATCATTACTAATCAATGTAAGTGTTAAAGCTAATTATTGCTGCAAATCAATTTTTGTGAAACATTGTTCTATAGGCCTACGTTTTTACGATTTTAGTAGTCATTCTTTATTAACAATCACAACACAAATCTTTTTCAAGTTTTTATTTCTGTGCTTCTTAAAAACCCAATAAATACAACAATTTACTAAATTATTTATATTTAGATCTACTTATTGTTGCTAATTTTCTGCACATTAATTTTATTCCTGTTTCCTTATGTTGATTAAACTTAAAATGATTTTGTACATTCGACTTTATGTAGTCTATATTTTAACAGTTGAATAAACTATGGTTTACAGTCATTAATATTTATGAAACTCAAGAAAAATTTCCAGATGATTACTGATGCTATATCGTGAAATTACACTACACACTATGAATGCGTATTACCTACTCTATAAATTATTATTAATTTCCTTTGCATTCAACTTGACTTTACTTAAAACTTTAAAATACTTCTACCTAAATAATTTTGATTAGTAATTTTACAAAGTTAGTAATAGTTAGCCTCGGTTATTATTCCTGAATTGTTTAGCCGTAAAAATACACTGGAAGCACTGTAAAAACCACATTTTATTTAGCATAGTTTTTTTAATATTACAGAGCATTTACAAACAGATTGATTGATTTTTGTTCATGTTAAATGCTATTTTGCTTATTAAATTTTCTATTGCTTATTAATGTGTTATAGTTATAGCTATACTGTTATCACTAATGATGCGATATAACTAATAAATCTAGCCAAATGATTGGAATTTGGTGCTGCACACATTTTCCCGCGTTTTGTTTTTGGCAAAAAGATTATAATAAAATGGCAATATAGGGGGGGGGGGTCATATTTCTGGCATACGTGACCACAAGTATGGACCTGAGAATTATTCCCAGACTTTGTCATGTATAGAAAGCTAAGACTCTGAACCGTTGCTTAATCATACACTGGTTAACATTAGAAGCGTAGTTTAGAAATTATTTAATTTTAAGTTCACGTTAACACAAGAATAAAAAGAGCTACTTTTACTAAAGTGCCTCTTGGGATATATATAAAAAAATAGGTCAAAAGTACACAATACTATTCTTGATTAACAGACTTAATTAGAAACAGGTAATTCCGATTACAAAAATTTACGATGGCTTCAAAATCATTGGTTTTATCCTTCTACCCCTTAATGAAAACGAAACCGCACTGCCATCTAGTAAATCGCTTCAAGAGCTTGCGCAGTGAGATAACATAAACAAACAAACCCGGTAGCCGTGAACCGAACTGCCTACTACTAGATCTAGATTTACTCTTACTTAAGTTACTAGTACTGGTCTGGCAGTAGCAGTAGTAGTCTACCTACTTCACTGACACAGTGACTACGGCAAGGGCACGGCCCTACACTTAACTACTAGATCTAGATCTTATATTACTGTAGTGTACATTCTACAAACAACACAACATCAACATGACTACTGAGTACTGTACAGTACTGTTGTATAGACACAATCAGTGAATCACGGTACACATATTAATATTATTGGTAATCTATCGTTTTGGGTACGTAAAATCGCCGTGGCTATTAATGTGCGAAAACGTTACCTCATTGTCAAGGCTTTAATAGAAGTATATTGTGATATGTTTGTGTCAAATATTATAGATAAATGGATAATAAACCTAAATCAATGGCTAAATATTAGTATTTCTCGCTAACCCGGAGGCGTGGCCGGTTGCTAACAACAATATGGCGCCCGGACCGGACGCTTGACTTCCGACGATTTTTCGGCCAAATTCCAGAGACCTTCTACTAGTTAGTTTTTAAAATGTTTACCACGCGCAAAATGGCGGGACTTTCACGTTATAACAACAAGCTATAGGTGGCAGGGCTATATATGCCAGAAAAGCATTTTAAAATTTGCGTTGGAGAATGAAGGCTAAATTTAAAAGTTGGTTTCATCAAAAATACTAGAACTTTTTAAATATAGATTTCCCTATTACAAAATTGATTTCCCTACTAAAGCATTATTAGTTTTATCAGTCTATGAAAAAATAAATCAAATATAGTCAACCCTTTTTTTTATAAGAGTGGCCAAAAATGACAACCAAATTTTTTTTATTTTTTTGACCACGTGACTGCTATTTGATGATCACTAGTGGGGAACTCTGGGTACATGGCCACTTAAAAAGTCTAACCGCATTTGTGGTTCTCTTTAGCTTCAAGTGCCTTCAGGGGTAAGAAGAGTTGTCATGGAGAGATGTGTTGTCCATGGCAGTGAGTGTCAATAAATATTAAATTAAGTAATTTAGTTTAAAACGAACTAAAAACTTCAAAATTAGTCCCTAATGGATTAAATATGGATGTCTATCATTCAGTAGTCATGTTTAATTTGAAATTTGGGTAAATTCTAGATTTAGTAAGAAAAGCTACTAAATATATCAATATAGGCCAAAAATTAACTTTAAACAGCAGTGTTTGCGAGCAAGAATCTAGCGCTATAACTTTATAAAAATAAAACTTAAACAAGGTGGCTGCTATAGTAAATGAGCATGGTTGCATCTGTTGGAAACATCGCTAGTCTTCATTTATTACTGAAAAGTTTTAATTCAATTGTTTAAAAACAGGTACATAAATCAAATGAAACAAGGAAACATTTTTGTATTTTAAAAAACATAGGCTAAATCCTCCTCAAGAAGTGAAATAATTATTAAAATTTAAGGAGTCACCTGTTTTTCACATTACTAGTCGCGGGCGATTTTACTTACCAAAAATGATAGATTACCATTGTTTTATTTGATTTAGTTAATTATAATTAATATTTAATATTTACTTGGGCCCCCTTAGGGCACATTGTGACATTACAATGATTACATAGATCAACCTTTCGGGAGAATGTTTATACCGGTATCCGAATGGAATCTTCTTTATAAAAGGGGTGTTAGGTTGCTCTTAGTTACTCAAACTGGTACTTCACTCTTTAGTGAGTCTTTAGTCTAGTCTTTTACAACCCACCAGTCCCAACAACAGGCAACAGCCCTTTTTTAAAGAAGATTCCATTATCGGACACCGGTATCTAGACCTCTATAATCATCCAACCTTTCTTTTAGACTACTACTCCCACTGCTCATACTAATGATATAATTATGATAAGCTATTTTAAAATTCCAGTCTTTTTAACAAAGCAATTGGAATTCAAATTGCGACTCTTGTGCATTCACACAGATCTGGTAGGAAGCCATGTTTGTTTGCATGGGGAAACCCTCATAAAACGTCACAAAGATTTCTAGAAAAGGGGAAACTACACATTATCTCATGACATCACAAGGGAATGGTGGTTGCCATTATGGCGGCTGTCGGGTGCGTGGAGAGTGGGTTGTTGGATAAGAAATGTTCGTCGGAAAAAGTAAATTATGAAATTTCAAAACTTTGCAAAAATAATGTCATTCAACATTGCTCATTTCTTGAAAATAGTAACAAAGAATTGCTTAATTTAAGTGCAGAAATGGACTCCAAAAAAGATGACTTTGTGCGAGTAGGAGCAACAACTGCGGTCTTCGCAAAACCATCAATCCCCTCTCTACGATCAAGACCAATTAGAAATCCAAATGAAATAGTTTCTGATGTTTCAGTAATAAGGTAACATAATCTAGATAATGCAACTATCTTTAGAAAAACTTAAACTTCTATTCTTTTTATTAAATCTAGATTTAGATTCTAGATCTATTCTAACATTTATTTTTAAAAACATTTTAAAGAATTTTTTCGGCGCTGCGCGCTTGACTTATGACTGGCGGCCGGTGTCGTCTGGTCAGAATTTTTAAAATTCTAATCTAGATTCTAGTCTAGAATCTAGATATAGATCTAGAGAATCTAGATCTATTGGTCTAGAATATCTAGATTTTAGATCTTCGATTCCTAGATCTCTAGAGTAATATCTAGATTCTAGCTAGACAACATAGATCTAGACTCTAGCTAGATCTAGAATCTAGATTAGATCTTGAAATACAGAAAAAGGGTTAAACTCGGTTAAATAAAAAATTAAATCATAACTTAGATTCTCTAGATCTAAATTTTCTAAATCGAACATTGAACGTATAAGAATTCCTATTTTTCTAGATCTAATCTAGAATCTAGAATAGATCTCTAGATCAATCTAGAAAATCTAGATTAATATTAAATCTAGAGCTAGGCGCTAAGGCTGCATTAACTTTAAACTTTAAATCTATCGGTATCCTCAATATTAATTAATAGTCAATAGGCCTAATCGATATCTACTTCTAGATTCTAGACTCGATATTAGAACCTGGATTAGGAGTCATATTATTAATAATATTTATATAAATGAGTTAAAATGAACGCACACATTTTTGTATGATACCTCTCCCACCATCACATCTTCTCGAAATCCACCCCCCCCCCCACCAAATGACACCACACCTCAGCCAACGACCCCCCCCCCCGTTTAATTTAAAAAACAAAATGTTAGCACATTTCTTTCTGAAAAAAATAATTCATATTTTGGTCAATAGGGTAAAGGAGGGCGTTAAGAGCCACACTTTTTAGCACCTGTACATTTTTAAAGATTTCTACTAATCTAAGAATTTTTTAGTATTGAAAATATGGCAAAATTATTTTAACATATCTTACACAATATAAATATAATAACAAAGTCTGTTAAATATACTTTAAATGGGTTTAATTGAACATTTATTGTCATACCCCCAAAATCAGCATTTGGGGTGAAAGGAGCCGGGCAGTGGGGCAATAAGTATTATCTCCTAGTTTAGACTAACTCCGCAATAAAAATAATTAATTTCTAACCCCAAAATAGTTAATGCTGTGTACACACACTTAAACTGATACTAGCTATCACTAGGCCCCAATGGGCCCAGTCTACAATTGATACAATTGCAGGTGTACATAGGGCCTAAAGTCTAGTAGTTTACAGTAGGCACATTAGTATGCCTAGTGTGTAGCTAGTATACTAGTGTGTAGCTGTCCAGAGTTAACATTCTTGTATGTAAAAAGGGGTGGTACTAACTAATCTGCCTTAATGCTTTCCCCTGATAAGCCATGTGTGCTATTCATTACATAACATGACATGGAGGTGAGAAATGTTGAGGGGAGAGCAGTGGTACTGGTTTCCCCTTTGTTCTCCTTGCTGGACCCTGAGGGCCATAAATTACATAAGGAGATGCTATCTCTGGTTGGCTGAGATCTAAGAACTTAGTCCATGTTACCTACAAAGAGATGAAGTTTTATGGTGGGTTTGATACAGGTGGGGTCTGGGTATCATGGGGGTGAGAAATTGTGAGGGGAGAGCAGTGGTACTAGTTTCCCATTTTTTCTCCTTGCTGGACCCTGAGGGCCATACATTACATAAGGATATGCTATCTCTGGTTGGCTGAGATCTAAGAACTTAGTCCATGTTACCTACAAAGAGATGAAGTTTTATGGTGGGTTTGATACAGGTGGGGTCTGGCTATCATGGAGGTGAGAAATTGTGAGGGGAGAGCAGTGGTACTCATTCCTCTTTGGTCTCCACCCTGCTAGACCATGAAGGTCATATATTACATAACATGCCACCCCAGATTGTCTTAGATCTGTAACTGTAATCCATGTTACCTACAAAGAGATGAAGTTTAATGGTGGGCCAGAAACTGGTGGGGGCTGGGTATCATGGGGGTAAGAAATTGTAAGGGGGGAGCAGTGGTATTAATGTGTCTGTTTACTTCCCTGCTGGACCATGAGGGTCATAAATTACATAACATACCACCCCAGATTGGCTGAGACCTAAGAACATTTATTCCTGTTACCTACAAAGAGATTTGAAGTTTTATGGTTGGTTAGAAACAGGTGGGGGCTGAGTCGGCTGTATTGCCCCTTAGGGGTAATAAGTACAGTACCATTTTAAAAATTACATTGCTAACATCAGATGGCTGAATTTTTACTTTTTAGCAGGTTAGAATTGTATTTCTATCATTTAGACACAAGTCTGTTTAACAATTAATACATTTTGTGTTAACTATTCCTATACCAGTGTCATATTCAGTGGTCTAATAAATGAGAAACTTGCACATAGGGTATCAAGAGCCACATAACAGTATCTGTTATAACTTTTCTAAACAGGCAAGCTAGTGAACAAAATTAATGTATTCATGAAGATTTAGTTATTATCTAACAAATAAAACCATTATGGTAATGATCAGTCCAGTTTTACTCTGATAATGATAAAAACTTTATAGCATGGTAAAATGGGACAAATGTCGGCCATTTTGTTTTGGCACCAATAATCACTGTGCAAAAAAAATTCACCAAAATAAAACTATTCTAGCCATAGCTATAAAAATAGTGTTAAAATGTACAACAACCAATGCTCTAATACAGGAACAAAGAATGGGCTTGAAAAACTTATTTGGTTTATTACAAAGTGAAGTTTCCCAAGATATGTCTATTTGGAAAAAAAGTTCACAAAATGGTTTTATGGAGATGAGAAATTTTAGGGAAAGAGCAGTGGGATTAAATCCTGTCTCATCCTCTCCCTATTGGACCAAGTGGGTCATAAATTACATAAAATGAATCCTCTGTTTCTCTGTTATCAAAGAACAGCAGTGGTTGTTACCTCAGAAGTAGATTAGCAGTGTTATTGGGGGTTTTGTGGGGGTGGGGTGTTGATTGGGGCTTAATACCACACGGCTCTTAACGCCCTCCTTTACCCTACTATGTATATTAATCAATTTCTAATGCAATTTTCAAAAATAGACTCCAAGAAACATGAAATAACAGATAGAGTTCAGCTTTCAAAATTTAAAAAATGCAACAGTGACCCCCCTCTCCTACCACACAAAGTCTCAAAATTCCGAACCCCATCCCCATTAGGAGTGTGACATCAGTTATGGATGACCTCTTATTTGAAGTCTATAGGCCTAGATCTATCTAGTATTCTAGTTCTATAAAATGCTATAGATTGTACATGCAGGCCTAATAATATAAATAATTAGGCCTAGGCTTAATTAGATTTAAAAATCTAGAATCTACATGCTTATTGAACTTATTAGATTAAGTGATTCTTTAATCTTAAATATTCTCAAGGCCTTTAGTTTACAAGATCTAGGATCTAATCTAGATCAAGATCTACTAGATATAGAATTTAGATGCCAATAGTTATAGAGTCTAGGGCTATTTAGGCTCTAATAAATTCTAAACTAACAAGTCATGGCCTCGCCTATTCTTTTCTAGTACATTCTACTACTAATTTTAAGCTATTTCATAGCCCCCTACACACCATTAAATATAGATTTAGAAGTCATGACTATATTATATTAATAAGTAAGTATTCGGCATTCAATTGAGACTGCCAATGCAGAAGGAAAAGATCTATTAAATTTAGGCAAATCTTTTAGTTTTATAATGACATATATGGTCTATAATTATAATAAAATGATATTTAGCCTAATAGTAATAACTTTTTTCTCTTTGTGTATATTTTAGGAATAATTTACATGTTAATTTGAATGAATGAATTAACTGGTTTTTAAGTCTAGCTATAATATACATACATTACAGCAGGTCAATGTTTCTCTGTTACCCGGGTGTACAGTGTCAGTATTAAAGATATCTTTTCTGTTATTCAAAACCTACCAGCTTATACACTATCACACCATGTGAACCATGAAGCTGGTCTTGTTATTACATTTTTAAAAAAATCTTTTTTAAACTATTTGGGTATGTACAATACTATTTAGGCTAACATAATAGATTTAAGCACTAAAGAATCATACATCCCATCTTCTGTTTAAAAAAAAAAATTTCTTGAGGAAGCCAATATTTCAGTTTTGTGATACCCCAACCTGAATTATGAGGATTAGATGTTAGATGAGTTGCTTAAATTTGTGCTGCACCATGTTCTCATCCTGGTTTCTAAATACATCGTGACTGCTCTCACCAAAATATTCAAACCTAGGCTTAAGATACAGCTAATACCTGCACCAGTTACTTCTACCTTAAGTAAGATACAGCTAATACCTGCACCAGTTACTTCTACCTTAAAAATGTTCGTTTGAATTAAAGCTTAAATGAAGTTAAATATCACTGGAACATAAACCACTCTTTTGTCTTTGGCTATTTTTTTAGCCCCATGAAACATAATGTGGTTGATCAAGTAAGTAATCTAATGTTTCCATTTTGGGGAAAACCTTTTCACTCCAGTGTAGTCAGCCAGGTGTATGTAACTAAGCACTGAGTA